TTGATCATACTCCACAAGGTAGTCAGGAAGAGGTCGTTTAGCAAGATCAGGTTGGACGGCGAGAAGAGGTGTTTCGCGTAAATGAGAGATCATGAAGAAGACTTTCTTAGTGTCGTTGGGGAAAAGATGAGAGTTCAGTTCGTAATGGATTTCACATTCCGACAGAAATGCGGTCAACTTGTTCCTCTCTCCTCTCCAGAAGTCCGGATTAGGCAGTTTTATTCCCTTCCGTGGTTCGCCAACTACGCTTGGGGTCGCCGAAGTTTGCCGTCCCATGGCGTACCTCACCCCTTCTGATATCCCTTCTGCAATACCGCCCACCGTCTCCCTTTCTCTTCTCTGCTCCCACTCCTCCCTACGCCTTCTCTCTTCCATCATGTCTTTGTTCATATTCGCCACCATCTGCATCAAGGCCAATATCACCCCTTGTGTACCTTCTTCTCTCAAGTCCGCCGTACTTCCAGTGTTTTCTGGCCGCGGGGTCTGATCCGATCCAACTGGGGATCCTATAGGTGGGAGGGCATTACCCGAAGGTGTAGGAGGATTAGAAGGTAATGGTGGAGCGAACTCATCTCCTTGAATTGATCCCCCCACACTATCCTCCACTCCAAGCTGCTGCCCCATCGCTCTGCTAAGCTCCTCCAGTGCCCTCCTCTCGTTCTCCTCCATCCTGTCTCCGTCCCTACTCATACCTCGCGTAACTCTCCTATCTGGTTCCATAGAATCTTCGTACTTCTCCGAGGTTCGCACGGGTCGTCGGTAAGAGCGATCCTTGATACTGTCACGGGCGTCGAACAACTATCTTCTGGCAGACCGACGGTCGACGAACCTCGGCTAACTTGATGCTCCTGAGTCGAAGTCTCACCCAACCGAGAGGGCGCAGACGTCGAAAGGAGTGTAACTACGGCGTACTTCGGCGTAGTTACTCCAACTGGGGTTTTGTTCTACTGATGGCGATGTATCTCGAATTGTATATAGCTATCTCTATCTGTTTTTCACTACTGACAACAATCAAGGATCGCTGAAGAACTTCAGCGATCTTCTCAGCTAATATTATCTACTCCTCCTAGACGTTCATCCAACCCTCTCGCGCTTTGACGTACTTCAACGCACTTCGTCCAACTTCCCCGAGCCCTCGGCCATCCTCTTCCTCCTTCGACTAACTCCGCCTAACATCGCCGCACTTCTGCTCCCATTGTCCCTACTTCGCCTAACTCCGTCTAACTTCGCCGTACTTCTGCTCCCATTGTCCCTACTTCGCCTAACTCCGTCTAACTTCGCCGTACTTCTGCTCCCATTGTCCCTACTTAGCCTAACTCCGTCTAACTTTGCCATACTTCTGCTCCCATTGTCCCTACTTAGCCTAACTCCGTCTAACTTCGCCGTACTTGGTGTCAGAAGTCCTGAGTTACGTGTAGAGTAAAGAGGTTAAAGCGTGATGGGGTTTTGATGGCCAAAGGAGGGTCATTGTTGGTGGAGTAATCGAGGTGTCACGACGTAGTTCGTGACAGTCATCCCGGCTCAGAGGACTTCGCCCTTAGAGGGGGAGCTCCTGTCATGAATGACGCCATCACGTGTTCCTTGTTGCGCAAAACAAGTTCAACCTCCACTTCCGTGTTTTAATATTTCACCTCTGCTCTCATGCCTATCAGGCATAAACTCCAAGTATCATTCTAGTATGTCGGTGCTTAGCTCCCATGCCTGCAAGGCATAAGTCCCCAGTAATTCTCTAGTCTCTAGTCCCTCTGTTCTAATGCCTGCTAAGGCATAATCTCTCAGTCTCTTGTTCTCGCAGCACTTCTATGGTCTGCATAGTTCCTCATCGATCACCTTCGACAAAGTCGAGCGACTTCCGGCGCATCCCGTAGGATGTCATAGTAGGACGTAGGTAAACGCAGATATGGCATCGTAGGATATCAGTGGTTATCGGTGGGATGCAAGGCAATGCATGCAGGACAGTGCAGGACGGTTCAGGACGCTCGTATTCCGCAGGTCTGCACGAGCCTCTTGGAAAAGGCTGATTTGTCTATATAAACCCTATCTTGTACTTTGTAGTCTTCTTTAGTTCTTGATCAAAAGTCATTTCCATTGCCACCCTTTTGGAGTCCAGTCCAGTCCAGTTCCCTCTAACCTTGTAAGACAAGCCAGAGACATTCCTTGGGTCACAGTCCCATTCCTTGTTGGACTCAGTCTTGTTATCTTAAGTATATTCCTTGTCACTCCTAGTCCTTGTCCCCTTGTCCTTTGTCCTCTGTCCCAGGGTGGGCAGTATCCTTGACATGGAGTTTAGTGATTTACGGTCGGTCAGAGGTGAGTCAGGAATGATACTTGCATCAAACTTTCATCGCATCTTCACAGGCGAAAATCAGAAGTGTTATCAATATGACATAGTCTACCAACAAGTGTGAATTCTATCAGTAGCATGAGTGATTGTCACCTGGACCGAGCAGTTGACCAAGGTCATGAATCCTTCACGCCGCCTACCCGTCCATCATCGCCTCACCTGTCAATGACCCCCAACAGATTTTGAGGATGAGTTCTTCTGCACCGCCTCGCCTTTGCCAATAGCAGTGTCAATAAGTCTGGAGCTTGTGAGATACTGCATAGCCCTTCCGACGACGCGGGAGGCAATGTCAGGGTGTGTCAACAAAGTCAATGTTGCAGCCAGAGGGGGAGACAGAGGGGCATCCGTGGAAGGTTCAGGAGGGGATAAAGTGTATATGATGGTCAACACACAATGAATGTTGAGTATCTCGTCGATACGGTATCTTGTTAGATCTCCTACTGTCTCAACAGGGTGTGCCGACTTGCTCTGAGCATCGAAACCTCCGAAGATGAGGAGGGAATCGTAGATGAGAGCCGAAGTCGTGACATTTGGAATGAGATGAAGAAGAGGGTTATCGGGATATTGGTCCGCTATTGCTTCCATTGCTTCCCCGAGAGCGATCGTACATCCAACAGAATATAGAAAGGATACGATGGTTGCAGCGAGAGTACGGAGAGGTGACATGCGGGTTTGGAACATGTCTGTCTTGTCAGTTGAGACTGAATGACCGTCAGAAGTTGGCAAGCGTGGTGGTAGTAGACGAGAGTAAGAGTTCGTCGCAATGGAGATCATGATGAAGGCTACGTCAAGTATGTAGTGGCTCCAAAGAAAGAAAGGTTCATGTCATGAGATATGTAGTTTGAAAGGGCGAACTCGAAAGGAGAGGGTGATAAGGAGCCACGTGGCGAAATCCACGTCATAGCTCTGACTACCAAACCTTATTTCCCCGGATAGCCGACGCGCGACTCCTCCCCCTCTCTGACTCTCTCTCTCTCTTTCACTCTCATCACCCATTAACCACTCTCGTTCTGTATTCACTCTACTGCATTTGGTCTTCTGTCTCATACCTCAACTCTCGTATCTCACCTCTTTAGCCCGGAACGGCGCATCAGGAGTGAGGCTTACCGAAGGAAGAGGGTCGTATATTTCTGATACTCCTCCACGTCCTCGACAGCGATCATGTTCAAGTCCAAGGCAACCCCTCTTCCCCCCGAGACAGACTACACCAAGAACCTCCGCGAGACATCTTTCTATCGTTATGGGAACCTACGTTCACTCGGTATCACAGGTGAGATCGCCTCCATGGCGGTGGATCCCCTTCTCTCCCTCTTCGCAATCGGTACAACCTCTGGCTTGGTTCACTGTTTTGGCGAGGCCCCTTTTCAATTCACTTTACCCGTCGCTCCCGCCACTCCATCTTCTCCGCCAGCGTCCATCAAGTTTCTCTTGTTCCATCCTGGAAACTCAAGACTCATCGCCATCGACGCTGGCAACACAGTGCATTCGTACAGCCTGGCCCATATGACGGATTCCCCAACTCCACTAAACCACCCACCTCTTCCCACCAAAGAAGGGGCGTACACGTTATTCGGGGTGATCACCGCCGTAGATCAACCTATGGCTAGCTTCACACACTTGTTTCTGACTATGCAAGATGGAGCGACTTTATGCTGGGATTCGAGCAGGAGGGCCATGGGCAGTTGGAGGACGGGCAACTGTTGGGGTGAATTCGAGGAGAAGATGGTTCGTAGCGGTCTTCCCGGGAGGCACAAGACACTTGGAGGGTAAGTTTCTTGGATTCTATATCGGACGGAAACCAGTTGACATTTAGACCTCAGGCGACATGTTTAGCTATCAATCCCCGCGACATCAACGTGACGCTCATTGGGTATGAAGGCGGTGTGGTAGCCTGGGATTTTCAAAAGAATGCTGTGGTGAAGACATTTGAGATGCTGCTACCTCCAGGAGCACCTGGCGGGAGTACATATGAGGAGGCTGATAATGTGAGCTGATTTCTCTGCAGTAAGGCTCTCAGCTGACAGAAGCAGTCGCTTTGGACTGAACGTACACCTGCTGTCTCCTTTATCACCTGGAGACCGGACGGTCTCGTATTTGTGGTCGGTCACGCGGACGGCTGTATGACCTTCTGGGCGTATGCTGAAAGTGACAAACCTCTCATGGTTCGAACGGTCACGCACGAGGATGTTAACGTCACCGACGCCGAATCACTTTTCTCAGCTGGAGCACTGAATAATCAGACCCGCAAGGAAAAAGCCGAGGAGATGGCCCGACGAGAAAGGGAGCCGATTTTCAAACTTGCTTGGGTCAGCTTTCCTGATCAAGCCGGACTCAAGGCTATCGTCACTGCACAAACCACAGATCCGACCCTGGAGCCACCTTCCAATGCTACTGCAGAGTATGTGGAGCGAGGCGAGACATTACTCCTCATACTTGGGGGACAATGTGAGGGGGAACGTCCAGGAATCAACATACTTCAGTTTCCTGCTTACCAACCTCCCCCACTCAAGAAAGCTCAAGCTGGCGTCGTTCCATCTGAAAGTCTTCCACTGGCCGACCGCTATGCTTTCAGAGACTCACTCATGCCTACTGGTAGTTCATATTATCCCACCAAAACTCCTCCCGAGGATTTCATCCTCCTGCCTCGCTCAAACCCGTACTTCAATCTTTCTCACGATCCTATCGCCCTGATCATCTCCCTCACTCCTGATCCGAGCTTGTCATCCGCCGCTTGTCCCGCACGTGGATTAGAAGCATGGGCTTTTCCACCTCCGAGATCCAACGTCATACCTCCTTCCCCAGGACGCAAAAATTTCGTACAGCCTGGAGAAGGCGAGAAAGTGGTGGCGGTGACACCAGCTCCAATACTCTCTCCACCTATGGGTACCCCTAAAAGCCCCATGTCCGGCTGGAAGCTACCTTGGACGTCGACTCCCAGTCCGAAAGCTTCATTTCCCGCTCCTTCTCTTCGTGTGACCACACCGGATTCGATGACCTCAATAGCGTCTGGTTCTGGGCGTAAGCGTGTCATTCGACGTAGACAGTATCGTATGCCTGCCTCACTATGGACCGGCTCCATGTCGGTTCTAGGTTGCGAACTACACTCCCTTCCTACACCAACTTTCAAGAAGCTCATCAGCTTCTCCATCGAAAACTCTGGAAATGAACGTAAACCCCGACTTCCCATACGTGGGGGAATGGCCGTACCGGATCTTCAGTCTCACGGAGCTCCAGAGGTAAAAGTTACAAAAATGGAAAGTTACAGATTATTCGTCACTTGGCATCCAGATGCCTGCGTGAGATTCTGGGATGCATCCCCGCACATACTCGTTCTTCCCACGCCACTCCGGTTTGAATACCCCGGTCCACTTCCACATCTGACAATCTCTATTGGTGATTATCTCAAACACCCAGATTTGGCACATCAACCTTTGGCAAAATTGTGGCAAATGGATCGGTCAAAAGTACGCATCAAGTCGGTTCATCTGACTCGAGAGTCGTTGGAATGTATCATAACCATGGTCACCGGAGAAGTCATAGTGACGAAGTTTGGTCAGGCAAAGGTTGGTTTCATGCCTGAAGACGAGGTAGAAGAGTTGGACGATGAGACCGCTCCTAGGGAATCTTACTTTCCTCCACAAACTCCTAAGACGCCAAAAACTCCCAATACGTCTGGAACAGTAGAGTGGGCCGAGGAAATGACGGAGATCGGACATCTTGCAAAGTGGGCAGAGGATGGCTTCAAACCCGTGGCGTTGTTCTCTCTGAGGCGAGGAGAACCAATCGCCTGTGCAGTGTCGGACATAGGTGGGTCAATCTAATCCGTGATATACGCTGGTCACCCCTCTGCGCGGCTCCGTTGAGCTGTGCTGACATGTCCGGGGAAGAATAAGACTGATCCACAGGATTCATAGCCGTGGCATTCTCCCAAAAGTCTCTGGCTGTGTTCGACATGCGGGGACCTGACGTGATCCTCCGTGAAGGATTTGACCAAGATGGTGAGGCGTTAAAACGGCGGAAAAAGAAAGGCAACGTACAGAACGTTCCTGCTGAGCAAAGTCTTGTGGGATCATTACAATGGGTTGTGTCGGGCATGGGTCCCGGTATGTTCTGTATTCCCCTTTTGTATGTATTCACTGACGAACAGATCCTACTCCTAGACCTCGATTAATCGTTTCTTATTCCAAAGGGTGAGTCCTTCGCCTGATGTGAGACAGACGCAGGTTGATGAGTAGAATGACCAAAATATACACTCTCGTCAACGTGTTAGGCGAATGGATGATAGAGGCCAAACCTCCAACGTTCACGAACGAATCTCTCGCTGGTCCATTAGCTTCATTCATTGTGGACCCGGCAACAGGTAACGAGATGACTGCTTCTGCTCAGAGTTTGTCACAATCTCTACAAACGGGAGCTATGGATAAAGATAAGAACGCCCCTCCTCATTGTTTGTGGATTGCAGCTAGTAAGAAGAGCATTCGTTGTGCTGTTAATTATTCCGGGGAAAGGGTGGCAAAGGTGGAATTGGAGGAAGAAGAGTTGTCCAGCGTGTTTTATATCACTCGACATGGTAAGTTGTCTACTTGTAGTCGTCTCCATTCACCCAAAGTCCTCTCAACCTTTCTTCTTTGACATGTCACACTTTCCGACATCACTGTCATCGTTCTAGGAGATGTGATATGCTGTTAGAATTTTACTTGGTCGCGGGGGGAGAGGAGAGTAAGGGCAAAGTATGTAAGATTGACGACGCAGGTCAAAAAGTTCTAGTGGCTCTCACTACGCACGGTACAGCCATATTCTATTCTGTTCCATTTTTGGAGTATATCACCACTATGGACCTTTCTTTTGGTATTGGTGGACAAGGGTGAGTCTAGCTCTACATATTCCTCTTCAGGTGTACATCCCTCTCATCAAATACAAAAATATCAAGCTTATACTGCGTTACCTCAGAGGACTTCTCGCAGTGACGTAGCGTATTCCACTTACACTCTTTACCACAAATAGGATTGAGAAATCTCGGGGCGAAAGACACTCAACTTACAGACAGTCGGACCTTGGGCAAAATCTCAATGGATGACCGTTCTGGTGATTTCGTAGAATATCACTCTCCAAACGAAATTAACCTCCGAACTTTGTTCTTATTCCGTAAACCTCTTCCTCCTCGATTAGACGCATGTACTCTCCGTCGACCCATCCCTGCTCAGCCTCAGCCAGTAGGTGCTACTTGGGGAGCTTGGATTTGGGGTGGGGCACCTTTGACCGGAGCTGCATTGGATGCGATAGGTAAATCTTCACACCTCACCATCTGTCCTTCATAACGACATGCCCTTATCTCGTGTTCATCTAGTCATTGTTATGAGACGGTCACACAATCACCGCTCCTCTATCATCTCACAGCCTGTCATGAGGGAGGATTAGGAATGGAAAGAAAAGAAAAGAATCAGAGCTAATATATCTTAGTCGCAGGTCCTACCAGACCCCCATTACCTAAACCACTACCTGCACCTAAAAGATCTTTGATATCATGGGGTGATCCACCTGATGAAACTGTCAAAGTAGTAACGCCAGCCACTACAACAGTTCCGCCTAAACGTACAGCAGTGAAGAAACAGACTGCTCCGAATAGAGATTCTAGAGAGAGGGAAGATGCGTTAGTTTAATCCTCTTCTCCATATCTTCCTTTTCCGAAAATTCCCTCCTCCCTCTCCTCTTCAGCTTGTTTCTTCGATCGGTCGCTTTTCGACCAAAAGCCCCTCTCTCCCACTTTCTGTTCACGTCCACAGCTTTATATTATCCCTTTCGACCATTTATAAACCCTCCCTACCTGCGACCTCATAAAATAAGAGTATCGTGAACTTGTCATCATTCCTCTGATGTTTCATATGAACAGATTCAGGAGCCAAACGAAGAATTGAGAGTTATTCACGTAGAACAACCACTCATCAATAGATACACGGAATTAGTTCATGCGACACAAGAACGTGGTAATTACCTTGATGATCTTGGAGAACACATGAATCAAGTTTCCATCAGCGCTTCTAATTATCTAAGTTCAGCACGTAATGCAGCTGTGAGTTTTTCTTCTCCCCCTCCCTACCTTCGTTCTTTCCTTTGGCCTTTTTACCTCTCGCCTTTTTACCTTTGGCTCTTTTCCCCTATCATTCCCTCATTTAACCCCTTGTAAGATGTTACCAGAGGTAACAAGACCCCATTGACAAATAGATGAAACAAGCAGCCAAAACTGCCGTCACGGGAGTATTCGGTAAACTCATGTAGCCCCATCTCTTGCATCTTGCTTTCAGTGTACAATCACTTTGTAAGAATATTCTTTGCCTCAACAAAAATGCATGTACAATGATTCATAATCTGTGGTCCTTGCTGTTAAACCTGTATGAATGTAGACTAAGCTGCGACTCTACGTTGTCCCATAGCTCCACCTAGACCAGATTGGAATCCCCTTCCTCTACCTCTACCACGATATGTACCTTTTGATCAGCTCTGTTCTGTATCATTTGATCCTGAGTTCTGTATCATTTCGTCTTCACACCTGACCTTTTTACTTGAAACCTGGCATTTGACACATGGTCGAAAAAAAGCAAATCATAAAACTCACCTCTTTGACCTTGTCTCCTCTCTGTTCCTTTTCCTTCTCCTCCCGTCGCCCCACGTGATTCTCTATCAACACCTTGACCACCTTGACCGAGTTTCTGATCTAAAGTCTTTTCGTTCGTTTCCAGCATCGCTACCGCCCGATCAGCCAATTGTTGAGCCAACTTTTGAACTTCAGTAGTTTCGATCCGCTGGAAAACTATGACACTGTCGATAGCATCCAGACTAGCTTGAAGCTCATCGTTGTAGATCATACGTGATACTATGGTCTGTACGCGGGCGAGGGGGAGATCAAAGGTCGTAGCGAGGGCTGAAAGGGATAGTGAGGCGTAGTGAGCGGAATATGTGAATAGGTAAGTTCGGAGAGCTTCTTCTTGAACTTTTCTAGAAAGTAAGCGTCAGTCCTCTCGCTCCTGGAAAGCTGGTCACAATTGAATGTGCGGTATCTCCTGTCCACCGGAAACCACCACATCAAGAAGCATAAGGAGTACAGAGCGAAAACCAACTGAGTGACGGAGTGTAAAAGGAACTGTAGGTGAAGTGAAGAGGAAAGTGAACACGGTTTGGAAGATAATCACTCACATGGCTAACGTCGCCTTGACCTCATCCACATTATCTAACAACGACCAAACCTTAATGGATAAAATCAATTCTTTAGCTCTTTCCCAATCCCCAGCTTCTAACGCTTTAGCAGCTTTAACCACATGATCCCTTGTATGTTCCGGAGGACCCATGAACGCTTGTCTTTCCGCCATATCCAAATGTCTCTTGAAAGTTTTACTCGCCACTCTTCGTCTTTGTTCCTCCGTCTGCGCATTGGCAAGAAGAGGAATTTCGATCAACATGCAACTTGTGAGGTAAGCCGCTTCTAAAAGCTCTAAATTGAGATGTAGATGGAATGGTAAAAGACGACGTTTTTCTTTTGATTCTTGATCCGGAGTGAGAAAATTATTGTATCGCTGTACTGCTTGAGCGAGAAGTTCTTTTTGTTTCTGAGTACTGAATATCTCTTGGAGGATGGTACGACATTCTTCCACTAAACCTTGACGGAAAGCTGCGAGACCGAGTTGCATGACGGCTCGGTTGTAGAGAATCTGAGTGGTCACGTCGGCTTGTTGGACAGTATCTTGAATATGAGACATAAGGAGGAGATCGCGAGCTTGATGATATTCCCCATGCATACCACGGTTGAAGATGTGAAAGAGGATGGCTCGGGTTCGTAAGAGTGTAGATTCGATAGAGTAGATGTAAACGCAAAGGGTGTGAATCAAAGCTGCCGGAGAACGTTTAGCAGTGAATGGTGTGAGAGAGGATGTGTAAGAGCCGATAGCGGAGATTGCACGTTGTTCAAAGTGGTCAATGATGATATCCGGCTGTACGAGTCAGCTGATACGAGCATTTTGTTTATCAAGGATGAGCTGACTTTTGCGTGAACGTGTTCCAAGCGACGCATGACAGCACGAGCAGTTTGATCCGACATGTTTTCTCGTTCGAACAATACTTGAGCTTTGCAGATCGTAGCATATAAAGGTGCTTCTTCTTTCAAACGTTCAATATACTCCGCTCCCTTTTCTTGCGCATCAGTATGTTGAAGTGTTTTGGTGAACTATAAATCAGTCTTATCTCATTGCGACGATAGGACTTTGACTCACCTCGTTGTCCAAACCTTCCAGTGTGCCGATCAGACTGCCGGCCACTATGACCCTCTGTTTCTGCCCATCGACCTCTTCAGGCTCTCGGTCGACCATATCGTCATATTCCGGCACCACCTCTGCCACCATATAATCAGATTCTTTCAGTAAGAGTGAAATGAGGTCATCGTATTCTTGCCGACATGAAATCCAAGAGTCATGTGGGATGGAAGGAAGATGTTGTGAATAATCCAATCGAGCAGGTAAGAGAGAGAGGTAAACTCTGATCTTCTGATACGTTGTCACTGAGACTTCGAGTAATTTCGTCAAAATCCGGATTGTCTCAGCTCGGTCGGTATTCTATCCCTCTCAGTTAAAGCTCTCTATCTCAGCAACAGCAACGCTCACCTTTTTGCCCCTCTGCTCGGCGATGTCCTTGAGAGTTTTGAAAACTCCTTCAGGTGTGAGATTGAGAGTTTTGCCTCCTTTTCCTATAGTCTGGAAATCACCCTCATCACCTTCCTCCGTTGGAGCGGTGGCGGTAGTCTTTCTTGAAACTTTAGGTACCGCGGGTGCAACATTGGCAACATCATAAGCTGAGGCATAAGCCGTCGGATCCTATCACATCAGCATCGTCTCTGCAATATATCCTGCACCATCTGAATTTGAACATACCTCTTGATAAGTAGTCAATACAATCTCAAACTCTTTCATCTTTTTCTTGAGAGTTTGTCGTATAGCACTCAAAGCCTTTGCTTTAGGAACTGGCATCTTTTTGCTTGCTGTCTTCTCAGCCGTGATAGTCTCGTTGACCGCATCGTTGAGTTCCACGAGACATGCGAGGAAAGCTGGTGGGAAATGTCCAGCTGGAGGGATAGGTGATGAAATCATGCTTGTTTGATGTCTGGTTATGAAACGTATCAATTTGTCAAGTTCTGAAGCGGCGAGCACCCAATCATTTCTTGCTCCATCGGCGTTTTTGATAGCGTTTTGAATTTTACTGATTGAAGTTTCCATTTCCGCGAATCTATTCATTAGGTAACGAACATCTTTTGGTTAATGGGTTGAACTTACCGTTTATCTTTGGCGGAAAGAACGACAGTTTTATCTTCTTCCTCCGACTCTTCTTCGCTACTAGCGGCACCTTTTAAGAATTGGTTTGCAAGATTCTGATGTTAGCAAATGTGTCAACTTTCGACCAGCCCAATGTTCTAACACGAAGTATCTTTCCCATCCCCAACCCCCCTCGTCTACCATCACACCACTCTGTTATTGAGCGACAAGAACAGTGTCTGCTCTATATCTCTATGTGCGGGGGTGGAAAATACCATGAATGAAACTTCCAGGATCTGTGCTCAAGAGTCCAAGGCGATAGACTCTAATATGATTTTAGCAAAGGAGGAAAGAACCCACCCCACGATCATCATCATCGTCGTCATCATCTTCATCTTCGTCCTCACTCATCTCCTCTTCTTCCTCATCACTACTATCATCCGAATCCTCCGCATCACTCTTCAAAAACATGCTCGCTCCATGTTTCTTCTTCTCCTTCTTAGCAGCGGCGAGTTTACGATCTTGTTCCTCCCCTTCTGAACCGGAACGAATGGATTCTTCAGAGTCTGACCCGGAATCAGAGGTATCCGAGCCTGAGCTCCCCAGTTTGGCGAAGAATGACATGTCGTATATACGAGTTGATACTCTCTGGTCTTGTCCTGTGCTTTCTGCGTCCCTCTATGAAGATGAGGGTGGCGAAATACTGGAACCACTGGTCAATGTCGCGTTTTGTACGATTATACGATTTTGGGACAAGAGACAGGTATGGGGATGGGGTTTCGCCGATATCGCCGAATGGCAGGGTGAAAGAGAATACGAATGTGGCACTTGATCGTGGCAAAGCGCAAGCAGCTAGCAGCTCTGGCCAGATGATATGTGAATGCAAAAGATTTGTACTTATGTTATGCGACAGCCTGTACCCTCACATCTTCCTCCGATGCAGATCCAGAGTCAGAGATATCATCCGCAGATCCCTGCTTGTATCCTCCTACATGATCCTCCCATAGTTTTTGACAATCCACATTCGCACCCAACTTTGCACACATCAAAAACGCACCGCTGAGTTTCCGATTCAAACTGTATGTTTCTTGTGGTGGAGGGGTCAGTCGATGTTTTAACATTATAGGAATAAGTTGTCTGACACCATCGGTGATTGTTTGATTGGCAAATGCGTAATTTCCTTCATGTCGGAATGGACCTGAAGTCTGTCACCTTTTGCTATCACACGGTCATCAGTGTAAAGATGACTTACTGGCTATAAGTGACATGGACTGAAGGTGTGCGTCCAACATGACCTTTTAGTCAGCCTTCACACTCATATCATATTCTGCCGCTGAGGATCATGTGTGAGATATCCGTCTAGAATTATTACCGGGACAGTGATGTGATGTCGGTGTTACAAGGGATACTGAGACTCACATCATTCTCCTCCCCCGTCAAATAACCCAATGTCAGACTCTCATCCTTCATAGCTTGTCTGTCTTCCGATAATGCAGCATTTAGGAGTCTGTACCAACCGTCCATAAATTTCTTGGTGTACTCCCTTGACGCACCAAAGTCGACCAGACCCAGGCGACCGGATTGGGGGTTATATAAGAAATTCGCCCAATTAGGATCCGTTTGCATGAATCTGAATTGAAATAGCTCTTGCAAACACAGGCGGAGTATATTGGTACCGATCTGATGGTCAGCACATTACTCTCTCTGGCTTCTTCTCCACGAGGATTAGTCTCCCATGAACGCAGACAAGGCTACTTCTCCGCCCAAAAAGGCAGGTGAGAGAAAAGTATAGAATACGGTATGGCATGAAGCCATGAATAGAGCTCAGCGACACACCTTATCTCTATCTTCCTGAGATAAACCCTTCATCTTACTTAGAGGTCTTCCCTCGACCCACCCAGTGGTCAAAACCTTTCCCGTCGAGGCCTCATCCACTACACTCGGCACGTCGAAAAACTCATCCCCAGCCAACATGTTCCCAAACTTTCGACATGCCTCAGCTTCCAGAATGTAATTACACTCGTCCGCCAATTCACCTCTCATGACAGCTATGGTATTCTGCAAATAGAGACCTTTCGGGAGTAACGACGACGAACGAAGGAGCATGGAAAGATTGCCAAGGTCAGAAGAGATTGATTCGGCTATTCCGGGGAATTGAACTTTGACAGCTACGGCGGCGTTTGTAGATGCTAGTGTCGCACGGTGAACTTGGCCTATAGAGGCGGAAGCCACGGGAGTGCGATCGAATGTGGAGAAAAGGGAGTTCCAGTCGGGTCCTAATTCGGACCGCATGACTTTCTGTGGATATCAGCTTCTACTTAAGCTTGCTCCAGCTCTGTCAGACGAATAACCCCGAGCTCTCATCGCTTGAGTCCGAGCCATGTATCATCTGGTGATACACCAATAAGTCATCCGATCCTTGAGTGTTTTGAAGGTGTTCAGAAGCAAGGATGAAGAATTAAATCGAAATGTGAGGATGAGAAATTAAGCAAGCTAGCACTCACCTCCATCTGCCAATCAGGCATATAATCCGCATGTGCTTGCACCTGTTGCAAAACCCTTTCGATCTCCGGTGGTAGAAGATGATTATCTATCTTTCAGCCCTCGCTCAATGTCTAAACTTGACTCACCTTGGATAGACATGAACTGTCCGAGTTTCAAAGCGGCCCCTCTCATCCGACTGAGACTAGCTACCAACCGTCGAATGTTGGCATCGGACATGAAAACGCTTCCTTCGGACGAGCCGCCAGTTGAACGACGTAAGGATTCTGAGGCTGCTCCAAGGGAAAGCGACGCTGCCAATGCTATGAATCAGCGTATGTTTCTACCAACTTCCGGTGTGAGGTCGAGAAGGGACTTACAGCCATAATGAAACAAACGACCTAAGCGTGATGATGGTACTTTTGAGGCTCGAAGCAAGATGGGAGACTAGCAATCAGCAGTTTGAGAGATGGGACAGATGGGACGAACCTCTTCTTCTGACACGATATCTGAAGGCTTATCGGCGTTCGTTTCTTTCTCCTGTGATAGATCATGGGGATCTGTGGACGGTGTGGTAGACGAGGAGTCGATTTCATCGGGAAGAGGGCTCGTCTCCGACAGAAGTTCAGGTGGCGCTACTGGAGCCTCCGCTTCGGTTTCGGACAAGAGTGGAGAGTTGATAGAGTCTGGTTTGAGTAAAAGGGACGTTGTCGAAGTCTCGGATTGCGGTTGATCATCCTCTGATGTGGGCGGTCTCTGCTGAGCTAGTAGCCTTTTGGGACCATACGATCCTCCCAATTCCTCTTGTGTCTCCGTAGACGGTGTCCCCGATGTCATTCTAACCTCATCGCCATACCGTGGTCGCTGAAGTGTTGAGAAATCCACAAACTCCTCCTTTTCTAAGGATCCATGAATGGTCGATTGTCCTCTCTCCACCCAAACTCTTGTCAGAGATCCCGCTGGTGTCCTAGCCCATTCCCAAATATGTGTCTCAGTGGACGGACCAGCCTCAGCTATGCTCGATTCGATAGCTCTATCCAGATTAGATCTCGTCCGTCCCGTCTTTCTCTCCGTTGAATGAGCTCTCTTCGAGCTGGCCTTGCTTCCTAATCCATTCTGCGTTGCTCCTTCGAGATCAAAATCGTCCTTATCATGAACAGCGGACGAATGTCGAGTTGTGTCTCGGACATGAGAAGTGGGCAAGGGGTTCGATCGATCTTGTCGGAATGTACCCTCCGTCTTGAGAGTAGCAGCTGATCGACTAGTTGAGGCTACTTCTTCCAATTGTATGGCCACTGATCTTATTACCACCCTTAACATGGCTCCCAACATGTTTTACCTCCCTTGGGAAGCTTGACCTGATGATCCGATGCTTCGATGCTTCGATGACGGATGGTGAGTTAGGACATGTGATTGGAAGATCTGAAGCAAACTCCGTACTCGTGTGTGGGGCCCCACACAAAGATTCCCCTCGCCCGTGGGTTTATCAATGGAACTTGGTCCGACTTTTTCCTATTTCAAACTACTCTACTCGTACAATAACAACAGTCCCATATTTGAACCATCTACTCTATCATCATCCACATCGTCCGAATTATCTTTCTTTCTGTTTCATAGAGAATAAAACAATATGTCCATACGGTCTCTTGCGAAATGCGGTAGACCAACTTTGTCCATGAGCCGATCGATCGTCACTAGAACGGGTGAGTTTGAGGATCGAAGGCGAGGAGTCGAGGACTGATGAGTAGCGGTGAAGAGATATACTAGTTCGTCGTCAACTCAAATATCGAGAGAAGGAAAGTCACATAGGAACACACTTTTGAAAGCTGGTTTCGCGGGGTTTTTGGGTGCTGTGTTGTACAATGTGGGACGGGATTATTACTCTTCTTCAGCGGTGAGTTTATCTGTCTTTGTCTCTGTTGTATATGATGAGGACGTTGAAATTGAGGCTGAGGATGATGAGGGTTTTGAAGATGAGGCATGTGTAAGGTGTAATGCTTCCCCAAAGAGTAGACGATGTCAAGAGGAAATGGAATCAAGTGGTGATGACGTTTGGAGGCATACTGATCAGTAGGATGAAATCAAATTAGATGGAAATCCTATGAAATATATGACTGATACATATGGTGTTTTCTGGATACCCATGCGTGCTATAGAAGAAGATCATCCCGAGGTGAGTTCGTCATATTATTACTATCTTTCCATATCTCCAAAACACTGAAGTAAGTAGAACCCCATGAGAATTCGAATGGCCGTTTGGGTGAAAAACCTACAAGATCACATTGTCAAAACTCTCGAAACTATTGAATCCTCTCATATCTCCTCCAATTCAAATATACCTCCCGGTAAATTCCTTCGTGACGCTTGGTTACGTCCTGAAGGAGGTGAAGGTTCTTCATGTGTTTTATCAAATGGTAGAGTTTTCGAAAAAGCAGGTGTAAACGTATCGGTCGTTCATGGAATGTTACCACCAACAGGTCAAAAATCAATGTTACCAGATCATCCATCTTTAAAACCAAAAGATTATTCAGTACCATTTTTCGCTACTGGATTAAGTATAGTCATTCATCCTATAAACCCACATGTACCTACCGTTCATTTAAATTATCGTTATTTCGAAATCAGTGATCCTGAAGATCCAACAAAATCTGTCAGTTGGTGGTTTGGTGGTGGTTCAGATTTAACACCTTGTTATCTCGTTGAAGAAGATTGTAAACATTTTCATCAAGTTTTAAAAGACGCATGTGATGAACATGATAAAGGTTTTTGGAAAAAATATAAGAAATGGTGTGACGAATATTTTTACGTTCAACATAGAGGTGAATCAAGAGGTATCGGAGGTATTTTCTTTGATGATTTGACTGATGTTTCTGAAGAACATGGGGAAAGTAAAAATAAAGAAGAATTATTCGATTTTGTTAAATCCGCTTCTAGCGCTTTTTTACCAGCTTATGTACCGATCGTCTTGAAGAATAAAGATAGGAAATGGACTGAAGAAGAAAAAAGATGGCAACAATTGAGAAGAGGTAGATATGTGGAATTTAATTTGGTTTATGATAGAGGTACTAAATTTGGGTTAGCAACTCCTGGTGCTAGGGTGGAGAGTATTTTAATGAGGTGGGTTGTTTTTGTTCTTTCTTCGGCTTATTATTCTTCTAATAAACTCATCCTACTTCTCTTATTTCCTCCAATGTCCTCTGACCTTTTCCATCTATTCTTCTCTCATCTTCTCCCCGCTATCGTTCTCTCATTTACTTAATCTTATCTCTCTTCCCTCGCAGGTAGACGTCACTCCTGCCAATACCCCCTGTCGCTCACTCCTCTGACATTCATCCTCACTTGATGAAACGACAACAGATAATGATTTGGTCATGGCGGAACTGCAAGGGACCCCCAGTGTGAAGCACAGATCTAACACCCAGTCTCCCCGAAACGGCCAGATGGGAATACATGTCCGAGATGGGGAAAGAAGGTACGGAAGAAGGTAAATTGATGGAAGTCCTTCGTCATCCCAGAGAATGGGTGTAATCACCACATTTAGATCCACGATATACTTTAGAAACTATCGTCACAATTGGATGAAGAAAAAGAAGTAGAATCTAGAAGGGAAAGAAATTGTCGTTTCAACATCATGTCATGCACTTTTACACTTCTCATTCCCCACTTGGAACTTGTCCATTTTGTCGATGTAAGGCAGAAAAGAGTACTAGCACAGGTAGACAAGAGCAAAAAGCAATGCAGATGAGATTAGAGTACCCAAGATTAGACCTTTTTACAACAGATAGATTGTTCTTTCCTTCCTTCCTTTCCTCTTATGCTGGCTCCAATCGTTAGACCCGATGAAGTTATCCATCCCTTCCAATTAGGTTGCCAGAAACACCGCAGTAAAGTACTCTCTTGTGTATCGAAACTTGTAGTGTGTCCACTTGAAATCTACTCCCCCTTCCCCAGCGGGTCACCCGAGACCAACAAAGTGTTCAAATATCCCTACACAGCGATACGTTGTGGTAAAGGGGTCGAACTGGGTATACTCTTGGCTGGTGTAGGGGCAGCGCTGACATTATGTCTATTGGGATCTGATGGCATTACACGTCGTTTAGGTAAAGCTTGAGATCGAAGATCTTTGTTGTCGATAGCTATACTCTTTGTACACTGTCTATGAGCCATGTTTCCTTTCACGATATGGCATTCTCCTTTCAGAATATATGACTCTCATCTCGTGAAGAAGTGTTGTGAAAATGAGGGAAGGGGGAAACTCTTATTTGTTAAAGAAGTGTTGTGAAAATGAAGAAAGGGGAAGACTTGAAACTCACATTGGAAGTCTTGTAAATGCCAACTAATCGATGTGCTAATTCGAACATATCATTCCTTAAAGAAATCACGATACTGTAAAGTCAACTTTATGTTTTCTCTCGCAGCTTGTACCTGATTCCTCCCTTTTTTCCCATTAGAAAAGGTAGGTTTTCAGTGAGCACAAGTAGGGAACACTTCTTATCTCTCGTCTTCCGAATATCGGATCTGGCCGATATTATATTAAAGTAGCAGAAGTTTTGGATTTGTTTTCTCGGGTTTCAGGAGGAATACAGGTGGGAAGGTAGGCTGAGAGAGAAAAGGAAAAACTCACAATTGCGCAGCTTGAGTTTTACTTTGAATATAATTCGCCACAATACTAACATTCTTGAAATCCAATGCGGCGTCAATTTCGTCCATAAAGTATAAAGGGGTAGGTTTGAAGACATGTAATGCGAAGACTAATGCGAGTGAAGCTAGAGTTTTTTCTCCACCAGATAAATTTGCTATGGCTCTCCATGATTTCTTTGGGGGCATGATTGATAGTACTACGCCTATATGTCAGTTTTTGATTCATGTTGGTATAAATGTAGGGGACGAAAGGTGGAAGATGGAAGATGGAAGACATAGATCGGCAGGTGAGGAATGGAAAGTGGAAGCTGAAAAGTGGAAAACGGGTCATGGGGCGTGAAGAGTGAGGAGTGGCAAGTATAGAGTGGGGGAATGAAAGAAGTTGCACGGACCTTCGGAAAAAGGGTCCATAGAATCTATCAACTCTATTTCGGCGTTCCCTCCCATGGTGATCATCTATCCGTAAGCGCTATTCATCTCCTTCACGAAAGAGGAGAGCAAGCGGTAGCGTTCTTCCTTTTGGCGCGATGAGAGAAAAGGAAAGGGTGACAACATGTCCTTCCGACGTGAAGTAACAGGAGAGGAAAAAGTAGCCACTTCCCTCCTGACATTGTAAAAAGAACAAGGAAAGATACCGACATTCCTCTTGTCCTGGACAAGAGAGGAAAGCGTACCGCCAATTATGCCGACTAAGGAGAAGAACACAAATAGTAACGATATTCATCTTGATCAAGTCAATGAAGAAAGGGTGGAGACTAAGCCAAGGAGTGGGGGAGGAGGAAAGGAGAAAAAAAGACTCACTTGATACATCTCTTTAAGTTTCGCACTAATGGCAGTAAAACCAGCCATAAACTCCTCCAATCTAACTTTCCTCAATTCATCATAACGTTTCTTCGCATTATCCCTAGCGGTAGTTACGATTTCCATATCTTTTGCTCTATCTAAAAACTCTGTTTCACGTTTACGATAATCTGCCAAAACGTTGAGGTTAGGTTTAGCTTTTGTTACTTCTTCTAATTTAAGTCAGCTAAATCATATTTTCTTCATCTCTCGCCACACTTTCTCCAATCCAATCCAATACGGAACAACTACTATGGAAGGAAAAGCTAGTTCAGTATAAAGAAAAGTCGGAATCTTCGGGTAGGAATAAGGTGGAAAGGTGGTTATAAAGTCTAAGAAGGATGAATCAATGTTATAAGTTGGAGGGAGAGGAAGAAAATGAAATGTGGAGTGATATACTGTAACTCACCTTCCAAAGCAGTAATTTCCGCAGTGAGCATTTCTTTATCTACCGATCGTAATTCGTCTGAAGAATATTCGACCAATTCAAAAGAATCTTTCTTCGATTTGGATTTCCCTTCATCATTCTCCTTCTTCTCACCTTTGACAATTTCTCCCTCTCTATCTTCAACAGTCTGTTCTTCAATGATTTCATCATCTTCATCTTCCTCACTAATGATCAGTGTTTCCCTTGCTTTCGTTGTTGAAAAAAAAAAATACTCACTCAATATAAGCCAATTCCAATTCTTCATGTCTCTTTTTCCAATGTTTCAACTTATCTTTACTATCTTTTTGTATTCTTGAATTGTCTTCAATCTTCTGTTTATAGTCCATCTGTCTCGATCAGTTTCTCATCTCATCATCGAATCCCAGAACCCAAATCGTATCCGGTATTATCCTTGCCAACGAAAAAAAGGAAAGGAGAAAAAGCAAAGAAAGACATACCTCAAGAGTCCTGAAAGCGTTTATATCAGCTGATTTCTCATCTAATTCCAATTTACTAGCAGATAAAGCTTCTTGAACATCTGTACTTGAATCTTGTGCTTCTTGAACTTTATCCCTTATAACGTTCAAATCAGCAGAAACAGCTTGTAAATCCCCTTCGACAACAGATAATTCCGTTTCAACTTCCTTGAGTTTCTCTTGATTCGACAAGATGGTCTTTTCCAATTTCTCCGCATCACGTTGAGATTTAGCTTGATTGACTTCTGCTTTGGTTATTGCTTCGTTGGCTAAATCTACCAATCCTTTAGTTATGGAGACTTTCGATTGGATAGCTCGGAGACGAACACCACCAACTTCGAGGATTTGATTTTGGAGTGATTTTATTTGATCAGATATACCTGATGATTTTTCACGTAGTTTATCGATTTCTTTTGATAATGAAGTGATTTCGGAATTGAGAGTTTTGATACGTTTTTCATCTTCAGCGTCGGGTTTGCTTTGAGATCTCATTCATCAGCCATTTCTCTACAGTCAAGAACAGTTCAGCGACCTGAAGTTGAGATCGGAAGAGGAGACATATCTCAAAATTGGAGAAAACTGGGAAGAGAATGTTGCGTGAAGTACGCAAAGAGAGGGAACTAATTCGACTTACTTGAGTTCGGACAAACGTTTCTCAGCCTCGGCAATCCTCTTCGAACCTGTTTGCACATCCAGTTCCATTTTTTCGATAGCTATCTCCATCTCCGGTACTCTCTTCTTCAACCTCGTCACCTCCGCCTCTGCAGCTTTCTTTTCCGCTTGGAAAGCCGACAATTCCTGTTCCGCTTGAACACTTTCCTGTTCGTATCTCGCCACTACTTCAGGCGCAACTTTATCACCCACAAACTTACTACTCATTCCTCCTCTTGAAACCTTTGTACCACCACCTGACATGGTACCAGAAGGATCTATCAATTGTCCTGCTAAAGTCACGACTCTCCATCTTTTCTTTCCATACCCTATCCTCTGGGCTTGTGCCAGATCTTCCGCTACGAGAGTATTGAACACTCCCTTGAAGAAAGCAGGAGCGAACTTTGGGTCTTTAGGTTTGATAAGATCGAATAGTCTAGGAACGTTTTCAGGAGTTTCTATCCTACCTAAATCTCTTGGTGGTAATTTGTCCAATACCATAAAAGAAGCTCTTCCAACATTACCTTTGCGTAAATGTTCGATACACGCTTGACCTTGTTCGACAGTATCTACGACTAAGTTGTTTAAAGCAGAACATGCGGTTGTGACTGCCACGTCGTATTTATCATCGATCACACCTAAATCGCCTAGGCGACCATGAAAGCCTTTGATCCGACCTTGAGTCTTGAGCTTGTTCAAACTGTTCAGAACGGCGTTTTCCGATTTATCCGCTGCTAAAGACGCTTTGGCTTCGTCCGCTCTTTGTCGACATGAAGAAAGCTTTGAACGTAATTGTTCTCCTTTGGCGGAAGTACCAGCCGCAGCTTTCTCTGCATCTGATAATTGTTGTTGAACTCGAATCACTTCTTTTTGTAAAGCAGCGTATTCTTGTTGTTTCGAAGCATCACTTCCTCGTAGTTTTTCAAGGTTCACTTTAGCTTCGTCCAGTGCTGATTGCATCCCAGAAGCTTTTTGAGTGAGGAGATCTCTCTCGGAAGTCGCTACATCGATGAGAGATTGTTTCTCGCTAATCTTGGCAGTCCAAGGTTCTAGCTCTCGTTGTTTGATTTCGATCTGAGAGGTGAACCCTTCAGTCTTATCTGTCTTTATCAGCCTCAAGCTTGCTTATTTTCTTTCGAACATACCTTTGAGACTCTCTCGGACTTCATCTAATTCAGCTTCTTCCGTGACAAGCTTCTTCTCCAAATCGGCAACTTTCACCCGATTCTTCTCCAGTTCACTAGACAGATTGTCGATAGTGGATAACGCCTCCGATCGAGCATGCCCATCTTCAGTAATCGACTTTTTGAACTTTTTCTGCTTTGAAACGAGATGTTTTTTCTTTTCTTGAAGACCGACTTCTTCCTTCTCGAACTTTTTAGACTCTTTCACGAGGTCATCAGTGAACTTCTTCACTTGCTACATCTCTTTAGCTAAATCCAATAGCCGAATGCAGATGAATTTACCTCGAAAGTCGCGAGTTTCTCGTCGTATTCCTTTTGCAAACTGTCGATTTCTGCCAGATGACCAGCGTTACGCTCTTGCTCTTGACTCAAATCAGCTGTCAAGGATTCCTGAGAAACGTCAGTCTGAACTTGGTCAACCCGAGGACTTACGATTGCCTTGGAGGTGATCTCGATGTTGTTCGTAAGAGTATACATGTGATACTGCCACAAGAGACTCTTTTTCCTCGTCAACTCGTTTGAGTCTTTCAGAAACGCCTCCGCTTCAAGTTTCTTATCCTGTCTCATCAGCTCAAATCAGATGCAGAGAGATTGAACTCGCCTCCAAAGCCGCCTTTTCTCGCTCCACAACCCTAAGTCGATTCATCTTCTCTCCTCTTTGCTCGTTGAGGGACTCAACTTCAAGATTGGCATCTTCAATAGGTTGTTTGTATTTCGTGGTACCTATGATGTCTTCCAGATACTCTAACAAGCCATCCTCATGCTCGTTCTGCGCCTTTGCTTTCATCTGCGCGATAGACTCGACTTCGCCCTGATGATCAGCTACATCGGGAGTGAGATTCGTAGGACTTACCTGAAGGATGAGGAAACGATTATGGTCCAGATCGATACCTTTGCCTTTGAGAAGTGAAGTGACTTCTGTGAATGAAGAAGTCTTATCGTTGATCGTATACTTTGACGAGTTGTTCCTATATGCCGTCCTGGTCACAACCAATTGTGAGTTTGGTACCAACAAGAAGTTGTCAACTCCTGGCTGATGATATCAACAGCGGCCATCTACTGAGACGATGCAGACATACCAGATCGACAATTTCACGAAACCACACTTCCACGGAACAGCTTTCCAAACCCTCCTTACCAGCGGAATTGTGTATCAACTCGCTCAACTTTCCTTGTCGCATCTTACTCGCTCTGTAGCCGAATACAAACAACAAAGCGTCGATGGTATTACTCTTTCCACTCCCGTTCGGACCCACAATGGCACTGAAAGACTTATGAAACGGTCCTATTTCTTGTCTTCCAGCGTATGATTTGAAATTCACCAGCACCAGCTTGTGGATGGTCAATCTAGGTTTCGGACCCGTCGGTGCTGGCGGCGGTGGGGCAGGTGCGGTCATAGGGATAGGTACAACACGTGGGGCTGTTGGCGTCTGGGGAGTTGAAGGTACATCATCGTCGATTTTGGGAGGGGAGGGGAGGGTGATGGTAGCATCCGCATCTTCGGCATCTTGGGCAGATTGATCTTCTTCATTCTTTGATCGACTGGCAGCTATAGACGGACCGGATTTGGAAGGGGTAAAATCAATGTCTTCCTCACTGCTAGACTGGTCTTGTTCAGGCGGTGGAGTGGGTAAATGTGAGGATGAGGATGTTTGTGTGCCCGAAGGTATCGGTTGAGAGACGTCCTCAACAGGTGGGGTTGACATTTCTTCTTCGTCCAATTCTGGTTCGACGACCTTTTTCCTTGTCTTGTTTCCTGCTGTTGATGAAGTCTTGCCTTTGTTGACTTTGACGAGTTTACCAGATGAAGACGGTTTCTCTATTTTGACATGTACCTCGTCGTCCTGCTCTTCCTCTTCCTCATCTTGATCTGATTCTTCATCCCGAGCTGTTGGAACAGGCTTGGCAGTCCTTCGTGGCTCCGCTTTCACAGCCGTCTTCCCCTTTCCAGTACTCCTCCTGGTATTCGGTTTGACATCTTGTTCAGACTCGTCATCTGAATCTTGAGCGTGATCCTTGGCAGGAGAACCGTCGGAAGGTGATGGTGAAGGGACCGCAAGTTTCCGTGCCCGAGAAGATCTAGTGGAAGTTGTGGAAGCTCCAGACACTACACGTGTTGAGCGTTTAGGAGGCATGGTTCTGTATGTCCCCCTGTATATTGAGGGAATGTATGAATGAGAGTGAGTTGTTGAATAGAAGGGGGTTGTTGACTTTTGACCTGGACGATTCCAGGCACGAGACGCGTCGTGGAACGGGATCAAACTTTTGGGTGGAGGAGGAAAAGATGCATGAATGGGAAATGTGAACGGTCCATGCCCGTCGATTGCAGTGCAGCATTCGAAGACGAGGTGCATAGAACATACTGGCACTTTAATGCGATGATAAGAAGGTATAGTCCGTGACGGTGGCTACGGTAGGCACAAGACCTCTTGGCGAGGAAAGCAAAGGCAAGATAGCAAGCGATGACTGAGCACCTACTCTACTTACTTGCTGACAATGAACATTAAGAGCTCCATTGTCCCCCAAAGGTAGTCTGCTCTCGCTGTTTGCGAGACAAAGGTGTAAGATGGCTTGTACCCGAAGAGGAGCTATCGCTCGTACGAACCACTGTTGTCCTCTTGAAGTCATCTTTGATACTATTGACCCATCGTATGTTGTGGTCTCATTCACACCTGGTTGAAAGATTTGTGCCACTTTGAAACTTTGCCCGTCTCGGCGCTATCGCTTTCCACCCTCCCACCCACCCATCTCTACTTCTCTTTCAAGACCTTCCTACATCAAATCCATCTCTCTCTCACCCACTTTGCTTGCCTTTCCACCGTCCCCTACCCGCCTATAACAGCCCACGCTGTCTTACCACAGCTATCACGAGTCCCTCTCAGCACCCTCCCCCCCTTCCTCCGAGCCCATCATGAGCTGGCAACCAACACAGGCCGACCTGGAGGAGGTCTTGGCCAGGGAATATCTCACCGATTTATGATTCAGAGGTCCAAAAGGCTGTCGCCTTGGTGAGTTACCGTCTTGAATTTTCCTGCATGTCGTTAATTCGAGCTAACGCCATACCCTTTCCACTTACGACACATTTGCCACACAGCGCCTTGAACAACTCCGTTTCGTCCCAGATTTTCTCGCCTACCTCACCTACGTCCTCATTCACTGCGTCGGCGAACAAGACTCTCACCGTGCAGTCGCGGGTCTTTTACTCAAAAACGCTCTCGTTGCACGATCTGGTCCGCCGCAAAATGAGGCGGACGGGAGAGCACTGGCATACGTCAAAGCTACCATCTTGACAGGTTTGCAAGACAAAGATCAGATGATAAGACAAACCGTAGGGGCTGTCATCACTTCTTTACTGAGTAATGATGAGACTGGTGCTTGGCCAGAAGCTTTGGACGCAGTTACGAATGGTATGAGTTCACAAGATCCTAATCTCGTCGAAGTGAGCATTTCAATGAATCACCTGATAGAGTCGCTGACAGGAAAGGGAGTCTTTAACACGTTAGATAAAATTTGTGAAGATTGTCCTCACAAGCTGGACGTCTGGGTCGGGGGACAAAACCTTTTGGATCATATCGTTCCACAACTCATCAAATACACCGCTCATTCTACTTCCAGAATTCGTCTTTACGCCTTGGAATGTCTTGTCAACCTCTGCGAAATTCGTGCTCCAGCTATATCAGCCAATATCGATTCTTACATCCAAGCATTGTTCGCTCGAGCGGGAGACGAATCATCCGACGTTCGACGAGTCGTATGTGCTTCTTTGGGGCATGTACTGAATCATCGTCCAGATAAATTGGTGCCCGAGCTTAACAATGTGGTTGACTATATCGCGTATTGTTCAAAGGACCAAGACGAGCTGGTCGCACTTGAAGCTAGCGAGTTTTGGCTCACTTTTTCAGAGGAACAAGCTCTTCGTGATCAGTTACGACCATTTCTTCCGAAAATCACACCTCTACTCTTGGATGGGATGGTTTATTCGGATTATGAATTGGCCACTTTGGATGCGGACGAAGACGATGAAGCTGTACCGGATAGAGAGACCGATATCAAACCCAGAGGATACTCCGCAAAGACGCATGGTGCTCATGAATCCAACGAAGCTTCCGCATCTTCAGGTCCCAGCGGCAAATCCAGAGAAGCAGCAGACCGAGCGTTCAACGAAGAGGAGGACGATGATGATGACGACGATGACTTTGTGGACGATGAAGATTACGGTGGAGAATGGAACATGCGAAAATGCTCTGCGGCGGCTTTGGACGTTTTGGCTGTTTCGTTTGGACCCGAACTCATGGACATCTTATTACCGTACTTGAAAGAAAGATTGTTTTCGGGGGAGTGGGTCGAAAGGGAGAGCGGTATCTTAGCATTAGGTGCCATCGCAGAAGGTGAGTCAAGTTTGTCTCCGAGTTGACATGAGCTGACTAGAAGGATGCATCGACGGTTTGGAACCTCATCTACCCCAGCTTGTGCCTTGGCTGCTTCAATCATTGAAGGATAGCAAGGTATGTCAGTCTCTACCCACATTGGCCATGGCTGATAATACAGGCTCTGATACGGTCCATCACTTGTTGGACTCTTGGTAGATATTCCAGCTGGTGTGTACATGCCTTTCGAGATGACAAGACTAAGGTCTTCATCCCGACCATGGAAGGAGTGAGTTTATAAATTTTACTCGTGGTCATCACTGATTTGACAGTTGCTACAAAGGGGGGTAGATGGGACAGCGAGTTCAAGAAGCAGGCTGCAGTGCATTTGCCACACTCGAAGAGGAAGCTGGTTCAGAGATCACCCCATTCCTCGAACCCATACTTCGTAACCTCACCAACGCTTTCGAGAAATATCAACAAAAGAACCTGCTCATCCTATATGATGCTTTGGGAACTCTTGCCGACGCCGTTGGATCTGCACTTGGGCAACCACTATATCTTGAGATTCTTATGCCTCCTCTGATTCAAATGTGGATGAAGTTGGGTGACGACGACGAAGGTCTTGTACCTCTCCTGGAGGTTCGTCATATTTCATCCCGTAATCATGAAGCTTTCTGATACCTAGTGTCTGTCCTCAGTCGCCATAGCCGCAGGAACAGCTTTCTCTCCTTATACAGTTCCTGTCTATCAAAGATGTGTTCAAATTATCAATACCCGTTTACAAGAATACCAAAAATACGAAAGTGCACCCGATGATTTTGATGAACCCGATCGGACATACATAGTCGTCGCTCTTGATCTATTATCAGGTCTTACACAAGGTTTAGGTGAACAAATACATCAATTAGTAGCTACCAGTCAACCACCTTTACTTCATCTTATGGCAGTATGTCTAACCGTAAGTTTTTTTCCCTCCATCATCTAATTTTTGAAAATGCTGACGGAGATATAGCATTACGAACCTCCTATTCGACAATCCGCTCACGCGTTATTGGGTGATATGGCAATATCTTGTTTCCCACTTCTTAAACCTATCATGTCACAATTTCTACCTACCGTCACTGAACAAATAATCGCTGAACCACCTGCGGATTGTGTGAGCGTTTGTAACAACGCTACTTGGGCAGTAGGTGAAATAGCCATGCAATACGCAAGCGACTCAACAGAATTACAACCTTTCGTATCTGCTTTAATCCAACGTTTGGTGCCTATTCTACTTAGCAAGAATTCACCGAAAAGTCTATCGGAAAATGCCGCTGTGACTATAGGTAGATTAGGTTTGGCTTGTCCGGCTGTGGTAGCTCCGGAGCTGAGGACTTTTGCTCAAGAATGGTGTACCGCTTTATGGGAGATTAAGGATAATGAAGAGAAAGATTCAGCTTTTAGAGGTTTTTGCATGATGGTTTCTATCAATCCTTCGGGTATTGAGCATGTGGGTTTTTCTTTTCTTTTCTCATTATCTTCTCCACGCCGCGTCATATCTTTCCCAACTCTTCTTTCTCCCCGTCGAGTCATTTCATCTCGTCATCTCTTTCCATCTCCTTCCGTCTCAATTCGCGTCTTCCCCCGTCTTATCTCACCACATCCACAGTCATTTCGTCGCTCCACTCCTGTCCACTCAATTTGACTCGTCTCGGCCTCGCTCCACCTTGTCAGGGATACGACTAACAAGTAGTGCTTCGTATTCTTCTGCAACGCAGTTTGTAAATGGACGAACCCATCCGCTCAACTGAACACCATGTTTCAACAGGTAAGTTTTTTCCCACACTCTGACGATGATTGGACACAACGCTCATGTTAGATTCTTCAAGGATTCAAAGATGGTCTAGGACCAAATTGGGAACCAACTCTAGCAGGATTCCCCCCCGTCCTTCGTGATCGTATGAGGGAACGATATGGCGTTTAGTCCTCAGTTGGCTCAATTTCGTCCCGGCTCACACTCCCCACCCACAAAGAAAGAGACAACCCCCGCCTCCAATGTAGATAGATAAAATACCAATAGTATATATTCGAATTTTGACGACTCACTCGACGATTACGTAGCATCTCGTAGCATTTTGTAGGCACATTACATAGGGAATCAGTAGATAGAACAACCAAGATTTACATAGCATCGTCTGGGCCATTAGGGCTCGGACAGAATTGTCAGATGAGAATGCACCTTATATCGAGGTATACACCTTTTACTTTCTTCTCTTTCCCTTCTAAACATGAGCTTTCTCCACTCGTTCACGTTCGATGAATACTTACTGCTGGCTCGCTAAACAAACCCCAATCCGTGACTTTCTTTGGGTCAAGAAAGACCTGCTCGACGATTATCTCAGCCTTTCCTCTACCCAACACGCCTTCGAGACATTTCTCCCAACCCTCTGCAGCAGATTGACTCCCACCTATATCACCCCACAAGGTATGAATCTCCATCAGATCCTTATAAGCCTCACCTAAATGGTGAAACAATTTCTCTTCCGATAAGATGTTGATTGCTTCTTCTTGTATTGCAATCGCTTCTTCTCGCTGTCCTTTGAGAAAAGGATGTCGTCCTAAATCGCCTATCCGTCGATCCCAGAGACTGAGTATCTCCCTAAGACGAGCAAGACGAGTATCGGATTTTTTAAGATGATGGGTGGGTCGAGAACAAGCGGTACATGAACAAGTGAACTGAAAGTTTTCTTCAAAGTAAGCTCGTCGTAGGGAACTGGATTCGATGCAAATTTGATCGTTGTATGCACAAGTGATCTCGGTCCCATTTTTCAGATCTTTCCATGCTCTTAAATCTGCGTGTCAGCAACCGCCAACATCTGACGCTACGAGGAATAGCACGGAGGGGAAAAGGGAAAGATAAAGGCAAGAAGAGAAATGAGGAGACAAGAAGAGAGAAGCGATAAGGCTCACATAACAAACCTTCATCCGCATTCCATGTCCATACCGCATTCGGAGCGCACGAGTGGTTCACTCTTGAGATGTGTTCGAAGAGACCGCAGGGATCGGTATCCGCATCCGAAGACGTCTCATAGTCCTCTCTGTGATCTTCGAGAGGTATCACACTCGTCCTTGCCCGGCTGACGAGAACATCATCACCTGCCCCAATTGGGAAAGAAAGGAACAATTCTCTCTTCTCCGGACCCAGCTTCCGATAAGTTTTGTACACATTGTATACCTCCAAAGGAAAAGATAATTGAAAGAATGGGGCTTCAGCGATGATGATCTCCCCTCTCGAAACGGAGCGAGTGAGGACGAGTCCTTTGCCTCGGCCGTTTACATCTACCACTGCGCACTTCCGGGGACCAGACGTCGACGACGTTGATGCTGTTGATGGCGGTGGGACGGGAGGAAGGGGATACGAGCACGGAAAATCTGGAGAGGGGGGTCGGATAGAAAGTGAAGCCAATTCGGAAGGTGTTGTTGTGTCGAGAAGATAAGTGAGGGCGGGAGGGGTTGCGGAAGACGGGGGAGTAGGAAGTGCGGAAGACGGGGGAGTGGGAAGATAAGATTCTGTTAGGAGGATAGGGTCGTCACTTTTTTCAGAATTGCTTCTGACATTGGGACAGTACGGGTTGAATGTTCTGAATATCGGCAGGGGGGGAGGGGGAGGAAGGGTGCCGAATAATCGAGCCGTTGTGGGGAAAGAAAGTTTCTTTCCAGGTCTAGGACGTTTTGTACCAGACTTAAAGAGCGTTCCACTGGGAGGGACAGGGAGAAGTTGAATCTCATCATCGTCATCGTCGTCACTGCTGTCGATGACGATGACCTCTGATTGTGGGCGAATGGGGACATGGGCCGGGGGCGGGTTCTGACGCGAAGAAGATGTTAACGATTGAGGTGGCCTCATGGCGGGGAGTCGGTTTGAAAGCTGTCTCGCACGGCCTGGGAGGTATAGAGGGAGGTATGCTCTGTCTTCCATGGTGTGTGGGAAGCGTTTGAGGTACTTTAGGAGAAGAGAAGTGAAAGAGGGGGTGAAGAAAGAAAGTCGAAGTCGAAATGAAAAACGACGCGATGACTTTTGTTCTTTTTCGTATGAACTTTTGACTTTTCCTCTCTCTCGTCCCGTACTGACATATCGATGTACTGACTTCTTACTCACCTAATCGAGGGAAGGAAAGGTTGTCAGATATGGAGGCGTCCATTAAAGAACCCAACATACATCGTATGTCCAGCTCTATTCCCGGACAACGAAGACATCATAACTCACTCGAGATTCCTTTCTGCTTCTGATCTCGCACGCTGACTACCAGAATTCGTCCGGGTCTTACAATGTGCTTCGAGATTCGGAGATGATCTACACATCCGAGTGACCAAAGACCTCGTATGTCATTTTATTTTCATCACAAGCTACTACTACAGACGGAAGAGTCATTTCTATCCAGACGAACCGGAAGGAATGTCAGTTGACGCAAAAGTGGGAAATGGCAGTCATCAACATGAACAAGAGCGCATACGTCCGTTTCAGTCTTCAACCTTCATTCTTCTGTCGGTGGAGACCTATGGGTAATATTGAACAACAACGTAGAGGTATTCAATGTCAGCTGTTGGTGAAAGTGAGTTCTCCTCTTCCCTTCCCTTCCCTTCCCTTCCCTTCCCTTCCCTTCCCTTCTCTTCTCACAGAGAGTGATCACGAACAAGTTGAAGGTTTCACCTCATACCAAAGGCGAACGTTGAAAAAGCTGTGGCTCTACAGGACTGATCTTCAGTCTATGCTAGCAGGTATCGGTAAACCAGCATCCCTGGCAAATGTAGAACGTCTCGATCTCAAAATCGTCGACAATGACCAGGTCTTATACAAGAAAGCTCCACGTGATCCGGGAGCTGGTGAGGAAGAAGACGAATCGGATGATGATTTAGCAAAGAGCATCGAAGCTGTTTTAGTGATGAAATTAGTATGTGATTACGGTACGTATGAATTTCATCTGCAACAGCCCGCCTGGACATGTCTTTTCGATTGTATATGAATGCTGAATTTAAGGAATTACAAAAAGACATTCTTTATACCTTCAAACATCCGATTTCCCTCGTCCCGAAGTCAACCCAGATTCTACCCCCTCAGGATTCACCATCGACGGAACTGTGATACAAGAATGGCTGAAACACTTCGACATCACTCTCACTTCTGCCTCCACCACGAGCTCGTCGAATAATAATGTGCCTCGTCCGGAACACATGCTCAATTGGATGTTTTCGAATGAGAGGGTAAAGATAAGAAGTTCGGAAGGTGTAGGCGGACAGGTTACGACCACAATAGATGTTAGTACCCAAGAATTTGAAGATTATGAGGTTGTGGATGGAAGGGTTGATTTGACTTTACCCATGAGGGAATTTAGGGTGAGATTGAATGTCTATCTTTCATACTTCATTCCTCTCCTCCTAGCTTTCCATTGGAAAGAACCTTATCCTGACCCTCTCTTGCACTTTTTAGACTTGGTTTCGAAATGTCTCGCTACACATGTCTAACCTCAGGCCGCATTCCAACTAGCCGAACAAATGCACATCAGCCTAACTGTGTGTTTCTCCGATGCGGGTCAACCTCTCACCATCAACAACATAGATGAAGACATTTCATCCAAAATCACTATTTTCTGTGCTATCGCCACCACCATCTGTACCGCTTTCGATGACGACAATACAACTCCAAACCCCCATCGTTCACGTCCATCTACTCGTCGACCAACCTCAACTTCGAATCCATCTTCCCATCAAAATGGAAATCCTCGTAAACGTCCTGTATCTGATGATCCCACTCAACATCATCCTTCATCCCGTCGTCTGAGACTTTCGACATTGCCAATGGCTTCTACCTCTTCACAACGGGTAAACGAAGAGAGAGGGAGATTATTCATGTCGGGTGGAAGTCAAGAGGTCAATGGTGGCGAAAAACAGTTCGTTCCCCCTCCATCTCAAGAAGAAATAAGGTCGCAAGTGGCTGCTGCGGGTTTTGAGGATTTAGACGCTGTAGTGAAAGAAATGGGTGATGTGGAGGAAGAAGAAGAACTGGAAGAGGACCGACCGCCTGATGAAGCAAGACCAGAAGAAGAAAGGGAGGTAGAATATCCAGGCATGGGGGATGGGGTGGATCTGCAATTGGTTTGGGACTTGTTCGCGGGGGATAACCCGAATGAATCGATTCATGATGTTGACACGAGGCCAGAGATGGATGAAGTGGAAGAGTTGGACGAAGATGAGATTGGACAGGGTTTAGGACCGACTCAAGCGCCATCGAATAGACCATTCAGGACTTTGTTCGATGACGATTGATTCACATCTCTGTCCATCAACGATGCGTGGAGGGAATATCTGGTTGTATTTGGTCGTATTTGGTCGTATAATCAGTAAATACAAGTTGTAACAAACTCATGTCAGAACGTCATCATCGTATTCACATGCGTATCGAGTGTTTTCTCTTCTCCTCAATCACCCGTCAATAGTGATCGAATATCACCAATTCATCCAAAGTCCCGTCAAGCTGAATGTCAAAGTACAATAAATCAGTCCATAGTCCACAGTCCACAAAATTGGCACGGTCTGACATCCTTGAACAATCCCACTTCAATAGCTCAATCCTCATATTACAGGGGTGCGTACCGGAATTACAAAAATAACTCACACAAAGCCTGGCAATAAAAAGGTCATTATCATCAGATTTCCACACTCGCAGTAAATTACAGATTTTGTAAATATCTATCAACATCCACTTTCCCAATTTTCCTTTCGACAGCTTTAGCGACTTCTACCCAACTTAACATAGTCTCAACATTGATCATCCCAGGATGTTCTTCCTCTACTTTCTCTATTATTTTCCTTCTCAATTCAGTTGAATAAGCTAATTCTCCAAGAGCTTTTTGAAGTGCGTGACGTAACAATTTTTCGGTTTCCGTAGTAGTTGTCTGTTGATTTTGACTAAGTCCCAAAGCCGTATTACGAATCGACTTATTGTTATTGTTCGAGGATATGGATGTGGATTTCAGTTGAGTTTGGTTGTTTGATGGAGTTTGGGATGGGATGGTTGATGTAGATTTAGATGTAGATGTAGAAGTTGTCGCGAAAGGTGAGAGTTGGAATGGTGAGTCGATAGTTGATGAATGGAATTGATAAGGATGTTTCTTATCATCAGCAATGAATTTGGCTCGGATGTTCGTTGGTTTAGACAAACACGGGACAACGACAAGAACCAGCATGTAGGGAATTAGGTAGAGCAATCTTGAGATTGTGGAAGTAGGCAGATGAGACTGTAGAAGTAAAGAGATGAGAAAATTCAGAGTGAAAAAATGATGAAGACATCATAAGATTCGAGACAAGGGTAGGTCTAATTTGAGAAAGAAAAGATATCATCAAAAAAAACGCCATAGACATCATATGAAGGTCCAAATGTAATACAAGTACGATAAGGTGACACAATGAGAGAAAATGGAACGTACCAAAAGAGGTAATCTGATATTCCTATGAGGACAATCATCTCTATGTCCAACTCTCCCATGTTGCATACAAGCTCCTAATAATAAACTCCCATCTTGACATAAACTAGCTCTATCAAAAACAGCAGGTTCACTCTTCGTGTTCAATCCTAATACTCTACCACATAAGCTCAACACCCTTCCCCTCATGAGAAAAGTTGGCATTCTGTGGACTTTGTGATTTACGAAATGACCAGACACAAAGAGGGAGGAGGGAGGGGTGATTGACTCACGTGAATCCTGCTATGGGCCATTTTTTATATCCTCCTCTTTTCGACGGTCTCGCTTTTGGTGAAACTGAGAATGGAGGTTGTTCCAGTCGTACGCTCCAGAGACAAGAGTTGATAGGGTGATAATGAGGGTTGATCTCGTAGAACTTGGTCGTGGCTGCGGTCACTGGATACCCGTCGAGAAGTTTGTCGCTGAGGGCAGGATGATCAGGAGGCAGTTGATATAGCTTCGGTTCCGCATCGATGAGATATGATGTTCGGGGTACGCTTTCCTGGGGGCTCATCTGGCTGAAGGTTGGTGGACTTGATGTAAGTAAGAGAACGCACGACATCCGCAATCGGCAACCGCACGTGTTCTACCTAATCAACTCAGGGCACAACCCTCCAAGAACCTAATGTGCATACTAATCATTTAGTAAATGGATTCTAATATCCTTCGAAACCTCCCAAGCCCTAACCCTCTAGCGGTAAACGTATCTAATGTGCCCCGACCTTCCGGCCGGGTGTTGATTAGTATTGCCACGTAACTACGATGCGGATTGGTAATAAGAGTCTGTGTTCGTAGTCTTCGATGCGACTCTTTACTATCATCGTAATCGTACTGGTTGTACATTTGAAGACGCACTGAACCCCTTTGGAAAAGCTGCTGAAATGACCTATCGGTGCATGCACCAAGAACTGACGTTAGGCGTGCTAAACGGCTGGGCCCCGAGCAGACCTCCCGGCCCTCCCACAAAATCCCCCTTCCATGACGAGAAAGGTGTCAAACATCTCAGTCATCCTGAATTACCCTTCTGTGATATGCATAGGACAAGGCAACATGATTCATGGGAAAACATGATGGGTGGCCCCGAAATGTTATCAGGCAGGGAGTTGAACGCTGGCTTGACCTGCCAACAAGAATGATCTCAGAGCAAAAGCCAGACTGCTACCAGGGTGAGAGCTGAGAAGCCAGTGCAAAAACTAGCGACGGGGATCGAACCCGCAAATCTTTCCCTCATATTATAGTTTCGCCTGCCATTAAATGGGAGGATCAAATAAGCCCTAGGAAGGGAACGCGTTACCTTTACGCCACGCCAGCGGGGGGCTCGAACGGCAGCCTCCGAGATCACCAGACCCCTACCATGAAGGGTCAGTAATACCCTTATGGCATTCCGTCCGTTTCGTGACAATCGAGTCAAAAGTCTTGTTTGATCGTTTACTTCAATGGAAAGCCAACTGACCCGTCGGATAGCATCGCTGATTCCCAGAACCTTGATAAAGCTGAGCAAGAGGACGTGCGGTGGTCGACAGTGACGTTGCAGAGAGGATGGATTTGGCTGCTTGCTGTCGTGTTGACATTTGATCACATCAGATGCATATACAGATACCGTTCAATCGTGATACGGTGACTCCTATGGATCTCTCTTCTCAAACGCAGCTATAGCCTGACTCACAGAGCCTTTTCCAGTGCCATGTCGTATAGCACCTGATCTCCTTGGAACATGACCTGCTCCAGCCGGTGGATGATCTATAAATCAGCAAAGTTTCCCCTATACCATCTTCATCTGCCTCATAAATCCATCAAGTTAGTCTTACGGACTGACATTGAAGCAGCGTACATTGAGGAATACTAATTGGGAGACTTACCGTGAGTAGGGGAAGGACTACGTGCCGATTCTCTGGAATCTTCATGAGCGTGAGAGATCCGTCCTGCAGCTGGTCTGGGACCTCTTGCGCCTACACATCAGTAATCCGCACCTAGCGACGTACCGAAGACTTGATTAAATATGAAGAAACAGGACCGAAGAGCCCTAAACTCATAAAGTGGTAGCTGAGTGTGGAGTGGTGTCGAGATGGTAAGTGAAAAATGGCTAACACAGACTCACCTCTAGGCCCCCTCAACCTCGATGCTTCGCCGGAAGTAACACGTTTAACACTTGCCCCACTTACGTTCCTTACCACCGGACTCTCCCCCTCTTCGTGACCCACTTCCATCGATTGGAGATATGCGGCCGTTGGTGAATCTACAGCTTCATGTTCCGGCTGTTCTGGGACAGGGACTGTCTCTTCTATTTGTTGTGCAGGAGTGGGGGGAATGACTTGAACACTTTCGTTCTCTCCTTTTAACTCTTTGCCACTGGTCCCATTGGTCACCTCTACCGCCTTCTCCAGGTCGAGTATTTCAGGCTGTTCCACCAATGCCAATGATTCAGGCAAAGGAGGAAGCTCAGGAAGACTGAATGGGTTCACATCGGATCCTCTAACTTCGGGAAGCGGTGAAATGGCCCTTTTGTGACTTGCGTACTGAGCTTCGAGTATTTCTTCAGGTTTCATATCCCCACTCAAGCGACTACGAGAGATACGTTGGTCCACCAGAGCAGTACGTTTCTTCACAGGCATTGGTCGACCTGAGCCTTCTTTACGTTTTTCCACTAAAGGAGGAAGAAGATCAGAATAATTAGTGATGAGATCGGCTAGGAAAAGGGATGAGGTTCGATCTTGAATTGTCATTTCATTTTCGTATTGCGGTCGTAGAATCGCTATTGGGTCAGCGAACATCACTTATATGAAAACAAAAGGGACTAACTTCGTCCGACGGAAAGTGCAAGTTTGGTGATGTAAACTTCATCCGATTCGTCCGTTTTAGTTGAATGTACAAGACTGAGGATCAGCTACTAGTCTCATACTCCGGGAGAAGCGTACTCGTAAAGATGTTTGACCAAGGCTTCAAGAACGTAAAGACAGATACTAGGTAATCTGCTCAGCACAGACGTTAGAGCGCTGGTCATATCTCGCTCCTGATCCGCACCAACTGTTGGTCAGCTCTGAGGGGAAAGGTCGGCCAGTAAAAGCTGACCTGCGGGATAAACGGCTCTGGCATCTTCCCATCCTTCCCATGTCATGACAGGAGGATTGAGCTCAAGCATATAGAGCTTGATGACACCAGCTGCAACGGGGACATTGAACTTTTTGATCATCTCCACCATAGCTTCCAAAGACATGGACGGAGTGTTGAGTACATTTCGGAGCATATGAGTCTCGTTGAGAGGGACTTCATATATCCATGCTCTTCGTCGCTCTGACAGGTCAGTCTAATCAACACCGAATGGGGAAGTGCAACGACGTACCCTCATCGGGTAAATCTGCGTACATCATTCCCAGGGCGGTCAAGAGAGCGGTCAGGACTTCAGGGATAGATCCTTTTGGTCTGACAGGGGCACTGAGCATCGATTTCCAACCCAATTCCCCCGCCCAGCGTCGCAGGTCGATCCCAAAATTAACCTCGGGTATGTCAGATTCGAGACTTTCGTAGATGTGTGGTCTAGGTCTGAAAGATCCCGTGCGGTTGCCTTCGATCAGGGCTTTTAGATCTGCGTCGGGATTGAACGCCTCGACGGACAGGGAAGTTGGCTTTGTCATTTGTTCCAGACGAGGCGGAAGTTTAGCAAGAGCCGCCTGATATTGCCGCAAGACTGTGTATCAGACCTTATCTGTATGAAAGCTTCCAAAAAGGGTGCTCACCCGACGCTACCACGCTGAGCCGCTCCCGCTCCCATTTCTCCCATGCGCGCAACCCTCTCTCGACACGTTCCTCCATCTCGAGTCGTTTCTCCTCCGCAGAACGGACACCTTCACGATATGCCTCTTCAGCTTTGATGGCATCGCGTCGTGCTCGGACATGCGCAGGTTCGTCACTGTTGAGACCATTCGGCAGATATGCTTTTAACAGAGCAGGCACTTTGGCGGTCGTCGGTGACAGAGGCGAAGTGAAGTTGACCAGAGGAGAGTCGTGAGGATTTAGCTTGAGGATGTAGAAAGTATCGTATTGGACCTCGAAGCCTCGTCCTACACCAATCCGACTAAGGTGTCCCATACGATATAATTCACCAGCGGCTTCCACGCATCGTTCCCAGTCTCCACCAAAACCCTCTACGTTCTCTCGGAGCCATTCTACGACTTCCTCACCGGAAAACGTCTTCTCATATGTGCCCAGAATCGTAGAGCGCTGTCGGCTAGCAAGAGCAGCATTAGATCTGGTCTGACTAACGGCAGCATCTGAGTATGGAGCGGGATGGGTCAAAAGGTAAGTGTCGAGTCGTTGAAGCAAATCTTTCAGCCCTTGTGGCGTAAGTGACAATCCGGAGAGGAGCATCGGTTCAGGTGGTAGTTTATCGAGCTGAGCATTGCCGTCTTTGGGTGGAAGAGGCGGTCCACCGATAAAAGGTTTACCACCTGGTTCAGTCGGTGGTATAAAAGCATCTTCTCTCGCAGGACTGGAAGGACTATCATTCCCGTTCACTGGTGTTGCCACACGAAGGGGAGTCGGAGGAGCCGGTAATGTTTTTCCATCTATGGAAACTCGAGGACCATGAGAGGATATGCTGGCAGCACGGAGTTTCTCGGATATGCGATCAGCAACCGTGCCAGATCTTCGGAGAAGGGCGTGTCTTGGTTCAGGAGACGAGGTGTAGATGTCGGCGTTGTTGGTAGGTGGAGCAAATTTTGCACTATTCCTGATCAGCCTCATTCACTCACGAAATGGGAACCTATACTCACTCGTCTTCACTGTCATCTGCCACTCGGGTTTTAGTAATGTACGCTTGCTTGAGCTGCGCGAGTTAGCTCTTAGACCTCACTCATATGCGACATGTGATAGAACTCACAGAAATTAATCGTTGTACATCCTTCTCCCATATCCCTACTACACCATTCTTCGCCAACATATCCTCCTTTGCCATCTTGATTCTATCCTCATGACGTACCCTCCACTGTCTAAAACCTCCGAGGACTTTCTGATCTAGTTCTTGCGCGAGAGAGCGATGGGCCTCACCTCTAGCATGTGATGCGGCTCGTAATTGCAGTAAAGAATGTTGGAGGGAAGACGATGATTCTGATGTGGAAGAGGATGTCGAGGGAAGTGAGAGTAAAGTGCTCGCTAACGCGTGATTGCCCTCAGCTTGAGACTGTTCCATCAGTCCATATCGTCACATCAGTTTGAATATCTCACCTCGATGAACTCTGTCAAGTCTCGGTCTTCTTTACATCCCTACGCTGTTAGTAAGCTCGGAGTGGCGAAAGTGACGACGAACCTGCTCGAGGTTATGGAACAAGACTTGAAGGCCAGATCGGTAGTCAGGGGACCAGAACGAGTTGTAGAAACTCGGTGGAAGAGTGACGGGTGCCATAATGGTTTTGAAACTCCAGTGGGTCGTGAGAGATGTCGTTTCAGAGATAAAGGTGAGTATGTGAAGTCATGAGAACGAGGTGGGATAGCTGTAGGGTACTTGTAGACATGAGGGTAGGGGGGGAGGATGTGATGGTGAGGTGGGCCTTTGCAACGCCGAGATGTGGCGAAGGGTGGAGGTCACGTGGTGGGACGAGCGAGCTGTCAAGCTGATCATGAAGAACGTAGTACAACTTAGAGGACAAGTACAGTAGGCATACCTTCTACTGTGAGCTCATAGGGAAGTCTTCTCAGATGTATGAGTACCTACCCATGCACACATGATGACCCCTTTGACCGTCTAGCTTTCTAGTACTTGTGTACCATGCAACATGAACCAAGAGACTTTCATATAAGTTAAGCGGCACTTGGCTAATGCCTCGTTCGGATCCGAGCTCGACCTTGCATTATTGGTGGAGGCGATCCAACCCGATCTCATAACCAATCCCAAATCCAACTCCATATCCATTCCATTCCATATCCATTCCGATATCCTTTTCTTTCTATCTGACCCACCCCTTTCCCAATCTCACCTCTGTACACACAAGATGAGTATCTCAGGTCATGAACGTAGAAGAAGGGAAGAACATCAACAACGAGCTGTGAGCATGTACCAATTTTTTTTCTGACTCACCCTCCATCCCTTCGCTCACTATGTCTCAAGCGTTTGAATCTATCTTTCCTCCATCCGTCCTTGATGTGCGTGGAGTTAAAATGATGGTCTCTGATCTGTCTGGAGTATGAATGGTGCTTCTTCTTGCGTATGAAATATGAACAATGACCATTGTCATATATGGAGTATTAATGATGGTAAGAATAAGCTGACTGGAAATAGTACGAACTACAACTTGCCGGTGGACTCAAAGTACGTTTCTCCCCTCAGACTTACTGAAGGAAATCACAACTCTGACACCAATAAGGGATTCACAAGATGGACATGTTATGGAGCTATAATCTGTGCTATCACACATTTCACTTGGCCAGGATTCCGGTGATTATTCCTCTTTTTTTCTCTCTTTCCATCAAACATCAACACATTCTGTCAAAGTGAACTTTCACATCTTATCAGGTCATAGAATTGGGTTTATAGATGTTGATGACAGACGACAAACATTAGGTTTAAAAGCTTTTCTCACTTCATCAGGTAATTTCAATTCCTCATTTTCATTTCCGTTTTAAACGGGACTAATTGATCAGCCGGGATATTCGGTCTTGTCATAGGTGCAGGTAAGTCATTTTCAACTTTTGACTCTTCTCACTTGACCCTCGACTTTTTCACTTTTGACTCTTTTCACTTGACTCTTGACTTTTTCACTCTTGACCCTTCTCACTTGACTCTGCACTTTTCGTTAAAGAGTCTTCTCACATGACTCATATGACACATTACACCTTGAGGAGTGAAGCTGATGGAAAGATGAGAATTTACTCAAATATGAATCCGGTATCAGAGCGGCTGAAAATGAAATACGAAGAAAAGCTCGGAACGCCTTAGCTTTGGAAGGGAAAATAGCTACAGAAGGAGAAATAAGACGGTGGAGGGATGAACAAGAACGTAATAGTCCACCACCATTAGTAGAGACTGATAGTCCGTAAGTCCGTAATCTATCTCTAACGTTCAATACTGTATCAGTGAGTTTTTTTGTCATAATAGAAGAAGAAGCGTTGATGTATATGCAGTATGCAAGATCATATCATTGTCTATCTCCCCTCCATTTCCCCGATCTCCTTTCATTGATGATTGGTTATACGTGTGAGGATCGAGATCATTTTGCAGAAGGTTTCTTAGTCTTCTTCTTTCTTTTCACTTTGACAACCTCTACCTCTGCGCTCTTCTCTTCTACTAGTTGAGGAGATTGACGTGTTGAGTCGGCATCTCCGTTTGTGTATTCTTCGTATCTCGACGAAACACCCGGTTGAGGGGGATGGTCTATCTCGATGGCTAATTGACTGGTCGATCTCGATAATGAAGGTTCTGATTTTGGTGGCATGGCGTCGGATGGCATCTCGCCGAATTTATCAATATCAGGACTGATCTTCTTTTCTGATGAGATCACTCTGGAGATGCTCGCAGACGCGTTGGAATCATCTACCACGAGTTCAGCTTTCGAATCAATTGACAGATCTGATGGTATGTGGGCTACTCACTCGGATCATCATCATCTAATTCCAACCGTATCACAGGTATATCCTCCACGTCATCTTTCGGTCCAAGATAATACGGATCTTCTCTCTGTCTTCTCTTCCTCTCTTCCCTCCGCTTCTCTTTTGCCAACCTTTCCTCCTGAGTAAGTTGTTGAGCATCACCATTCTCTTTTCCTTTCCCTTTCTTCTTCTTCTTCCGCTCTCCGTCCTGTTCTCGTAACACTCTCCGTAACTCTTCCATCCCTGCTGTGACATGACCCTCCTCCACTTTCTCCTCAGTTTCTTCGTCACTCTCCACATCCTCAGGAAAGCCACCACCAGGAACGATCTCAGAGTCCAAATTGATATCGTCTGGCAGACGAACAGATTCTTGGGCTTTGTATCCCAAAGCATTCATCTCCCACCCCGTAAACAACGGCTGAAAGAGGAAGAGGGATTTAGGATATGGAGGTTCCGAGTCGGAAGATGGCTCGCCAAAGCCGGGTTCAAGATCTGGTATTGATGAGGAAGGTTTGACGGGTGGACGATGCGAAGTAAGATCGGCAGAGACGAAAGAGAGGAGTTGGAGAATTTCAAAAGCTCGTTCTTGTACTTCTATGTCGTCATGAAAGGAATATGGCTCGATACCACTTTTGAGTGATGTGACGAGGTTTTGAGTTTCCGTAGATAAATCGGAGGACCATAAAGGAGCAACAGATGCAGCATGAGAAGCGAAGATCTTCGCTGCGGCTTGTAAAGACAGTGCGATCACAGATGGTGTTGACAAACTTAAGGAAGGTGTTAGAATCGCCGATATAGCGCTGAGTGGGGAAGACAGTTCACTGATGTCAGTATGTTCCATTTTCAAAGAGACATACCTCGAATACTCCCCACACAACCAAATGGCAGCTTCCAGTAAACCATCCTCACCAGTCTTCTCCCTTCCTCTTTCTCGAACATCATCCTCACCAAGCACACGTTCGAGCATCTTCACCGCATATCCTCTAACACTACGCACTCTTGCCACAACATCAAGTAACATATCCCTCACCTCTCCCCCTACATCCACCTTACTCACATAAGCAACGTCGATGAGAACCGATATAACCCATTCGAAATCGGTCACATTTGTATATGTCTCATGAGAGAGCATTCCGAGAAGACGCCGGGTGAGGAGGAGTCGATAAGCTGGACTGAGGGTGATGGACCTAGCAGTGGCGGTGGGTGTGGTGTTCGTCCCCGCCACAGCAGCTAAAAAGGCAGCAGCTGAGGGAAGGGTAGATGTGTCTGAGGAAGGAGCGAGATGAGCCAGTAGTTGATCGACAATTGATTGTAAGTTCCGTTGATCCACCTGGCCAATCAGACTTCTGAATCGTGTGGAGGAAAACACATACCATGGATGTGACCAATTCCAACGCTCGCATTCGTATTGACACATCGGGATCATCCAGACTTTGTAAGATTTCCTCTTGATATTCTGCTACCATACTCGGGTGTGTTGGAATGATCTTGACCATGGCTAAAAGAGCGATATACCGTACTGACATCAGCATGTCGTATCGAAGTGGGGCTGAGTAGCTAACAGTTTTGATCTCCACCTTCATCTCTCAGATAGCCGCCCAGTTTCTCTACACAGACTCTTGCCAAAGCTTCCCCCTCCGGTCTATCTGGATCTAGCATACCTCCCACGATACAGGTACGAACACATTCATATAATAGTGAGATGGCAGAGGTAGAAGATATCAGTGAAGTGATGGGCGGGAGGAGTTTTCTAACTAGCCGAGGTTCAAGAGGAGTCAGTATTGCGAACTGGACTGGTCAGTATAAAATGTGCAGCGAGCTTCGAGGGGACTTACCAACTTGACAACTTTGATAAGCATCCAATTATTGCTACTACCCGTGAAAATGGCAAATAATTCAGGTGCCAGAGGTAGATAATTCTTCCCTCCGTGTCTCCTAGCCAATTCCATCACTACTCCCACTGTAGCTCCCACAACACCCTGATCTTCATCTTGCAATTTATCTCGCAACCGTGGAAAACCTTGTCTTAGACCTTCGGGGAAAGCTTCCCAACATGGTAATAAACATAATACCGCCCTCTTTCGTATTCTTGGTGAAGAATGACTGAGAAGATGAAGCAAGTCTGGATGAAGGGTATTTGATAGAGAAGAAGATAGTGATAGAAGGTGTGGTAGAGCCGTGAGAGGTAAAGGAGGAAGAGGAAGATGAGGAGACATCAAATCCTGTCTTCGTCAGTTTCTCTCATCTGAATCAAAATTGACTTGAATGACCTTTTTGATACCATTGACAGTCAAGACTACTTCTTCGGTTTCTCCAGAGAACGCAAGAGGGGCTGCGAGATAACCGATTTCTATATATCAGCTTGCATACTTGTCAGCCCGCCAGCTTACGTTTCAAGTGATACCTCTGAGAACTCATCACTTCCACCACGTGAAAGGCGAAACCTGAAGGTGCAGGAATAGGATACAACATCATCAACTAAAATGTCAGCTTTACCGTATGGAAAGAATGAAAGATGTACGTAGCACATTTTGAGTACACCCTCAGCCTTCAGCGCCATATCCTTACCCTTTAGTTCCTCCCGGATTTCAGTCATAGCTTCGTTGATGAACGCATCCTCTGACGCTTTTGAGGAAGCTCGGTGGGCTCTAAGACCACGTATAAGATCTTGGAGTGTACGTTCGAACATTCTTCACCGGAAACTTCTCGAGACAGCCCGTAGGCAGGGCTTGAGATGAGGTATTGCAATATAGGTGATGGGATAGGACGAGAAACGAGTGGAAGGGAGGGTCACGTGATGTTGCAATCGATCTCTGAGATTTCTGTGGGATTATGAACCTGTCAATTCGGTATTGTGTATTGTGCATACATACATCCAGCTCAGTATCATATCTGCGCCAAGACGTTCCCTGCCCTCCAAAGACGGGACAAAAAAGAAGAACCTAGGGGGCGGAAGATAGCAGTCAGTACCATGGACATAGCTCGGGTGGTGCGCACTCAAGTGAGCGCCGGAGAGCTTGACCCTCCGCTTGAGCTCGTTCAGGGTGAGTTCATGTTCCGTGATACCTACCTGTCCATATATACAGTCTCCGCTGACCATGTGCAGATATCAATGACGGTTCTGTGTCTCTCCTTGAGGTTGTCAAAGCTCTTGGAGAATACCTTACTGCAACGGAAAATGATGTCCGACTAAAAGGTGAGCTATGGAGCCGCCAGTAAATGTGATCTAACCTCTGTACAGGTTTGACCTTTCTCACCAATACGCTCAAGAGTAGCGCTACGGGAAAGGTCAATCGACAGGCTAGTAAGCGGCCTTATGAAGAGTCTTGTCAAGCTGACAAGCAGCGTTGACTCTCACTCGCTTCTACATTTCCAAATTGGATGATGCCGACTCTTTAACTCCTACCTTGACCGCTCTTATCATCCTGTCCAAATTGCCGCACTTTGATGATGAATCGGCCATTGAAGTTTACAAAGCGTCAGTTCTTTCTCGTGAGGATCATAAGAAGAACTCTGGAACTCACTCTACAGCTTAGTGGAGAATGTAAACATGAAAGCCCATGTTCAAGCTATTCGACACCTTGTCTACCAAATTCTAGACTCTTTCCTAGCCAAACATCGCAAAGGTACATCAATACTGAGGTGAAGCATGACTGACATCCAGCGTTGAAAAACATGGGTTTAGACTTTGTCAACAGTTACGTCAAAATGGTCGATGGCGAGAAAGATCCTCGTAACCTCATGCTTCTCTTCGCCATGGACCGAGTTATCCTTTTAGAGTTTGACGTTGAAACAATCATCGAAGTAAGATAGTTTGACTGCCTGCTACTATCAAGCTGATATGCAGGATTTCTTCGACATCACGTTTTGCTATTTCCCCATCTCCTTCCGCCCTCCACCGAATGATCCGTACGGAATCACCGCCGACGATCTCAAGTTGGCTCTAAGGAATTGTATGGCCGCTACCCCACATCTCGCCAAGATGGCCTTGCCACTTTTCTTGGAAAAGTTCCCAACTTCCAGTGGACCCGCAATGGTCGGTGTTCATTCGAAACCATATGTTAGTGCTGATTGTGGACAGAAAGATCTGATGTTATCCATGGCTGCATGTTTTCCCACTTACGGCTCATCCGCGGTGAGCGAGAGGGGAGAAGAGCTCTGGGAATGTATCAAGACAGAAGTGAATTCATCTGACCATATCCGAGGCATAGCTGATTGTAGATTCTGTATTCGTCAGACCCTGGGATTGAGTCGGCTGCTCTATCAGCCCTTGAGTCTCTTGTCAAGACACTTTACCCAACTGCCGATGTCGTTCCGACTGGAATAGTTCAGGACATCATCAAACAGTGCCTGGAGATCATGAATGACCCGGAGAAAGCTCAGGCTTTAGCGGCTACCAAGATTATCGTCGGACTGGTCCGAGCTTCTGGTAAGTCTCTTGGAGACCATGAATGATTCCGCGCTTATCCACAGCGTCCGCCGGGACGTTTGCTATCTCTCAAACATTCCAGCAGCTGTTTCGACAATTCAACCGACCAACTGTCCCCTCTCACCGAACCCCCATCCTTTGGTCCATATCGTCCATTTTGATCGCTGCTCAGTCTACATATAGCAATACCGAGTCGGGCAGAAATGAACCCGAGGAGAAAAGTCTCCAACCATTCCGAGGGAGTCTTATGGACATTCTTCGGGAAGGTTTAAGAACGGATGCACTCCAGGAACCGGCCATCAGAGGGAGTGTGGCATTGATCGAAATACCAGAATTCTTAGGAAGGGATGAAGCGGAGAGTCTCGTAAGGGGGATGAATAACGTTCTTGTGGATGACAGTTCCTCTGATATCAAGTGGGTGACAGATTTTTCTTTTTGACTTTTAGCTGATTGTGCAGACGGACCGCCATCAAGGGTCTCATCACAATATCCAAAATCTATTCCTCACTGATTGAAAGCATCACCTTCCCATTGCTGTTTCATAATCTTCCCGACGCCGCCCCGACTGTGTCGGCCGTGCAAGCCCGAGAGAAGTATCGCAGCATCCTCTACTCCCTCTCTCAACTCTGCGTTCAGCCTGGCCTGTTTCAGACTCTGGTCATACGAATCACCACGAAGCTCGAGCTCCTTGCTTCGTCGCCTCTACCCGCCGAGCAAGACGTACAAATGTCGAACGGGGCTGGTGTAGTCATCGATGCTCGAGAATGTACAGTGGCATACGCTTGGGACCTTCTGAACTGCCTTTCAGGGGTTATTGACGCCAAGCTAGCCGAAAAGCACGTGGACGTCGTCAGGTACTGGGATCAGATCACTCCACGAATATACCGGATGGCAGTGGAAGGTGCGATCTCGCGAATCGGACCGGAGCCTCTGTTTAGTGATACGAGATTGTTGGAGATGTCTGGTAAGATTTCGGAAGTCATGACTTGGGAGCTTGACCCAGAGTAAGGATCATTCTAACATTATCGGTACTCTTACTGATAAGACCTAGAAAGCAATCTCAGCATCTTTCAGCCGTATATGCTGCCTTCGAGCGTGGTCAGATGAAACCTCTAATCGATTCGGATAGTATAGGGTTACCCGGATCACCACTACGCGTGAGTGACCAAATTGATACAAAGAACTGAAGTTTCAGACTGGTGCCTCAGTTCCAGAGCAAAACCTCATCATTCTCTACTCTTCAGTCATGCAAGGTCTACGGAAAGATGTCATTCTACCCTTCGACTCTGCGGCCGACTTTCTAGGATCCAAAGTGCACTGGACAATCAACGTGGCTCGTGAAAAGATACAATTACGGTGGGCTCTAGATATGATAACTGCATTTGTCAATCAGCGGGATACAGGTAAAACTTTGACTCTTGTTGACGATCAAGACTGACTAGTCAGATTTGGGAGATGCACTGGAGATTATCTTCGAGAAAATATGGTCCAAGGACGTTCAAGATATTTCCCTCCCTCTTTCCACTCGTACTCGAGCACTACATGTCTACCTTCACATCATCAAAGGTCTAGCTCTGCTTCGAAACCCATTGGCGTACAAAGCTCTCGACAGAGTGATCGATATTCTCTCGCTGTCTAATCTCGACCCAGATTTCGTTCACGAAGCGGCAAATTCTTTCGGTATTCTAGCTCATGGAAAGAGTAAGGGCAAGGATAAGTCACATCTGATAGCAAAGGTATGTTATCGCATTCGAATCGTTTATGTCATGACTGACTTTCAGCTTCTTCATGCTCAGAAATTATGGAATTACGTTCTTCCCAAGATTATACAGGGTGATCAAGATGCCCAGGGGAAATCTCGAATACCATACTTAATAACCTTCTCATCATTACTACCACTTATTCCGGCGTCTCTATGTCTCTCAGATTTCTCCACCGTATGTGGTCTCTCCACTCAACACATTGTCCAAAACTGATGACCAGATCTTACCTCTTCTACTCCGCTCCTTGACACTTTCTAGTCCCACACAACGCATCAACGTGATAACCTGTCTCATCTCAATCTTTGAAACCCCTGAGCTCTCCACAGAAATCGACAGTCTTCTACATCGTTCAGCCGTAGAGATCGTCGAAGGGATAAATAGAAGTATACTTCATGACCCGTCTTCCCATATGGAAACTTCAGGTGTAAGTCATCTGTATGACAACCATTATAATCTTCGCTGATCATATAGACGGTGAGGAGTAAAGCGATCAGTTTCCTTGCTTTGATACCTGATGTGATCCGATTCGAAAGTTTGAGATCGATGAAGAGCGTTGTCCTGAGAAATCTGGGTAAAGCTTTGGACGATCCCCTGCGTAGTGTACGGAGAGAAGCTGTGGAATGTAGGGCCAAGTGGTATAAATATGGAGGAACGAACTAGGAAATCGGTCCATCTTGAGTAAAGATCAATGAGCTTCTCTCATTCAAAGTCACTTCAACAACTGGAATATCTCGCGCTGATGTAAAGTTATCACCATCCTTTGATCTATCCAACATGCACAATTATTACCTTCCTACCTCTTTCATGTCTTTTGGACTCACGATTGACTTCGACGGTCCTACTCATACTACATTTACGGCTCATACTCATGATCCGGTCCACCACTGACGTATCTTCAAACTTCGAGCTACAAGAACTTGGTTCTCACGGTCTTCGGTGGAGAAACTCTTCGGCATTTCCCTCACCACACTTTCATCGCCACGGAATGAAGGGATCGAAGTCGTCTCTCCAATAGGGTAATATCACACGCGAAAGAGAAGGCGTGGGACTACTGATTCTCTGACGTGATGGGAACGTGAGAAGATCTAACTGAGCAGAGTGGCGTGGGAAACACGCAGCACAGGTTTCGAATTTCACACGCTCACCTTTGGAAGAAGAGAAGCTACGCTATCCTACATTCTCATGGGTAGGATAGGGTGTACATAGCTATAAAGTACTGAGTTGAACTCACTTATTTATCATTCATATCCCTGATTCTACATCAAGAACGCTACACTGATCAAGCTGAAGGATGTTTCACAGGTCAAAGACAAGAGTGACTGCCAACGCTGTGACACTACCACCAATTGAGGAAGCTGTAAGTCCTGTCCTTCCGTATGAAGTATTCTGAGAGCGCCAGAACCCTGTCGTCACCACTGCTGTCACGAGCCTGAATGATGCCACAAACTCACTAAAGGATGCGGTGGATCGACTGATGCTGAATGGCAATCTTGATAACCTAACGCTCACAAGTACAGGTGCGAGGGAAACGGCCGAGTCAATTTGTGGGCGCGTGTTGGCAGCCTTGGCAGGCCTCAATATATTGTATCGAACATCCGAACAGTCCAGGGTTCCCAGGGAGTCGGCGGCCGACTCGGCAGAGATTTATGCGGAGATTGACCCCTGCTCCCACCATGAGCTAGCAGAAGTCGAGCCCGTAGACCGCTACACAATGCATGTGGAATCTGCGTCCGACAAAACCGTTCACTCGTTCCGTGCCCTTTAAAAGCGACAACTATCCATTTCCAGCTGCTCGGGTTTCTCTCGCATATAGTGAAGGATCCAACAACACTATTGCCCCGTCATTGATGGAGAACAGTCAGTGGAAAGAAGAAGAAAATTGCCAGGCAAACGTACCTTACGTGTGAAAAATTCTCACGTTCTTCTTCCTTCTCATGACATCATGGTTGAACCGTGAGAATCCTTCTCATGACATCATTGTTTATATGTGGGACAGCTAGGAGGCTATGCTGACACCACTTTCCCAGGTTCCCAAGGACTACAGACTATAAGACTCAGTATCCATGAATCTAGAATGCACATTTAGAACTCTTCAATACCCGGCCCATCCATATTCCTTACCATCTCACAGAAGTCCGAAATCAGGCGAAAGTACATACCACATGAGCCCATACAAGGAGTCAGACGCTGCTTCTGTATTGACTGTGTTTGGTAACGGCAGTGAGGTCACCATAAAAAGTGTTGACGGCTCTAGCAAAGGCCGCGCCGGAAGGGGGGGGACACCTGGTTTTGAGGCGGGAGAGGAACTAGTGAGTCATTCATGTCTTTTTTTTTACATATACTCACTCTGCAGCGCCCGGAATACACGATTGTTCTTGATCATCTTGCCAGATACGAGGCTCAACTTACTGCAATCATACAAGAAATTCATGAAAATCCCGCAATTGTTCTTGATACAGGATTTGAATCACGCCTCAAGGGTTTAGACAATGAACCAGCCACGATGGAGACCGCTATAGGCAATGCTGTTATGACGTCTCACTTACATGCAAAGACCAGCATGCAGAAATTTGACACAACCGCACAAGAACGTCTTAGGGAATGTGAGAAGAGGCTTGTCAGGACCAGACGTTGAAAATAGTCTGCGTCTATGAGCTTGTCACGGCCGTCGAACAACTATTTCTTAATAGACCGACGGTCGACGAACCTCGGCTAACTTCACGCTCTGAGTCGATGTCTCACCCAACCAGGAGGGCGCAGACGTCGAAAGGGGTGTAACTACGGCGTACTTCGGCGTAGTTACTCTAACTAGGGTTTTGTTCTACTGATGGCGATGTATCTTGATTTATAGCTATCTCTATCTGTCTTTCACTACTGACAACAATCAAGGATCGCTGAAGAACTTCAGCGATCTTCTCAGCTAATATTATCTACTCCTCCTAGACGTTCATCCAACCCTCTCGCGCTTTGACGTACTTCAACGCACTTCGTCCAACTTCCCCGAGCCCTCGGCCATCCTCTTCCTCCTTCGACTAACTCCGCCTAACATCGCCGCACTTCTGCTCCCATTGTCCCTACTTAGACTAACTCCGCCTAACATCGCCGCACTTCTGCTCCCATTGTCCCTACTTAGCCTAACTCCGTCTAACTTCGCCGTACTTCTGCTCCCATTGTTCCTACTTAGCCTAACTCCGCCTAACATCGCCGCACTTCTGCTCCCATTGTCCCTACTTAGCCTAACTCCGTCTAACTTCGCCGTACTTGGTGTCAGAAGTCCTGAGTTACGTGTAGAGTAAAGAGGTTAAGGCGTGATGGGGTTTTGATGGCCAAAGGAGGGTCATTGTTGGTGGAGTAATCGAGGTGTCGCGACGTAGTTCGTGACAGAGCTTTGGCTATAGGGCCTCGTAGGGAACAAACCTAGTGATGTAGTTTATAGTCTAGTGATGTAGTGGATCGAAGAGACTATAAGTCGATGAGATCAAGTGGCAAAAGATTTGCTAAGTGACGAGAAAATACATTCGACAAGACATCTACGAAAAAGGGGTGTTCCTATATACTAAAAAGGGAGCGGAGTGATACCGAATCTATGGAGTAAATGTGGAAAGCGATATGGGGTGTAAGAGCGAAGGAAGACGGACATAGATGAGGGACACGGAGATGAAGGAAAAGTATAGCATGGTAAAGAAGTAACGATTAGGTAGGACAGGAGAACGGAGGACGCCGTAACGGGATCAGTGAGACGGGGACGGGAACGGGTAGACGGAGTACGGGAACGGGTAGGTGGAGTACGACTTCTGGGTACGACTCTTGAGGAACCCGTCTATAGGTACCCGTGATCCTGACAAGGCTTAGTGATAGCAGATTGTTCTGGAAAACACAGAATAAGGAGATGACGCGTCTCATGGCCACACAAAGCTCGCTTCAGAGAATCCATACCCTGTTACTTAATTCTAATGCGGAAAAGCGAGCACATGTCATCTTGATGTGGTCACTGATCCAGGCGACTAAGCCCGTTATCACCTCCTCGAACTTACAGCCCTCAACAAAACCAAACTCTGCGGAAGTCGCGTCAGGGGGAGAAAGCATGGCCGAATCGAGCCAGTGAAAGAACCAATTCTGTGATCATTTCTCATAGAACACTACTAACACATGACGACACGACACTCACCGTTGGGGTAAGCGTAAGCAGCTAGCCATCAAGAGACAAATATATCTGGCTCTGTTTATAATGAGTATCAGGCAATAGAACAGGGCGTATAAAGTTGGCAGAGTGAGCGCGAGGGTGCTTGTCAATTGCTGGAACAGGAGAGATGATGGGAACGGGTACGGTAGCGGTAGCGTACTTAGCATGGCGCATGGCAGTAAGAGACGGTCAGAGCATATGTAGGTACATATGAAGACTCGTCCTTGCTAAGGTGCTATCATATCTCCTACGCAGGTATACTATAAGTATGAGGTTCACCTTCATCTCTGCACCTGTTAGCTACTCTTGGTGGTTCTTCCGGATGACTTCCTCGTCTAGAAAGGCGAGTACGCCATGACAAGACTTCCTTATCCCTTCCATGCCGGTCTACATTGGCATTAGACCTTTGACCGAGTGATGGGAAAGGAGGTAGTATGAGGAGCATGTAACTTAGAGCACACAATGCTTCACACCAAGTGTATCTTACATTAGTTGATGGATAATCACACATTTAGTCATAGTTTGGGAAAGCAATCATACAATATATTCACGCTCCCAACGCAGCTCTTCACCTGGGTAGCCGCAGTCCAAACGTCCCATTGCACGGAAGTCGATAGGTCGACATAGTCAAGCTCAACTTTCCCTCTTCGGTCGTCGGCACCGCCCCTGCATCCCACCTTTGACGGCGTTTGACAGAGAGATGGAAATGACGTAGCCGAGACTGGTTCATCGCCTCATCAGTCGGGGACGAGCGGGGATCTCATCCCGGGGCGATGCGGTCGACCCCGGGACACCGAGTATACCAAGCGCCAAACACCATAAAGGGGGCAAGTGCGGCCACGGCTTTTCTGATTTCTTACTCGCCACCTGACTACATCAATTGATCCTGCCTTTGAAACACCTTGCACACAATGTTAAGGAGACGACGACTTGGCGCACAACCACTTTCGTCTTCGGGCACAACTCCCGAGAATAGGCATGCAGCAAATCCCGACGGAAGCGATTAGGCACGCGTTCAGCTCGGGCCTCATTCTTCTCTTTCATCCAGTATCAACTGTTCATCTCTACCTAAAACATGTTCCACTCTTTTCGATGCAGACCTTACTATCTGAAGCACTTGCTCTTCACATTCTAGAGAACTGCGCGAAGTAGAATGATATCCATCTCACTGCTAAATACCTGTGTGAGTAGAGGCCATGCGACAGGAATGACTTCTTGGGAAAGTCAAAGGGAAGGAGGAATGGTGTATCTCAGTGAGTATTGATCACATCGTTCTAAAACGAGTATCACGAGATAGAGGATAGTCAGTTCTATATATTTGCTGTGTTTCCTGACTGAATGTGTGGAGAACATTGGGTGAAAAAAAAAATGTTCAGCTGCATGTATTGGACACGGGGAGAAGTGGTGGAAGGGAGGCCCGTGCTCGCGCGCGCCTAACTACTTCCGTCGGAAAACCTGAGCATGCCTAACTCGGGGGTTGTGCCCGAAGACGAAAGTGGTTGTGCGCCAAGTCGTCGTCGTTAAGGAAGTTGAAACCAGGAACAGGAACAAAGCCACGATCATCCCCATCAAGCTCAGCAGCATCCATTGCTTCAACTTCTTCAAGTCAAAGGACTGGTGATGTAAGCCAGATTGATTTACAAGAGGTGTCTCGATCCCTTGAGGAGACATTGAGTTCTCTTCGACATATCATAGATCTGTGCAGAAAACATCACAGCATGAGCACTTCTATTCATAATCGTAAGAATGCACCTGGTCAGTCTCTCACTGCTGCATACCTGTCAGAGATCGTTAAACAATCAAACACCTTGATCATTCAGCCCCTGAACAACTTGCTCATCACTGAACATCAGCGCAAGTCACAAGAAACATCTGCGGCCGAAGAGGCTGCTCAGAGAGAAGCAGAAGCCCTTGACGAGAAAACAGAAGTACTGACACACGAATGTTTGCAGCTCACAGAGTCCAACAGATCTCTACAGCAGACCGTAGATGAGCTACGTAAGGAGGAAAGTGAGCTCGGGAGGCAGGAAGCAGCTTTGTTTGGCCCATATGTCATTGCCTGCCAAATTGCTCAGCAGCCAATAAGCCCAATCCTTCCTAAAGTTGGAGAGTATAAGGATTGTAGCACTCAAACAGAGAAGACCACTCCAGTACGGCCCATAGAGTTCTTCAGCGGCGTGCCATTCCTCTAACCCCATTATCGCCGCCTGAGACGGATGAAAGTCAAGCTGAGGGGGATGCCACGGGTAGTGAGTAACAGAGCTTTGGAATGTCAGTCCCATAACAGGAGGAGGTTTTTCTTGTCAAGTCAGGAGACATGGACCAGTGCAATGTGGGGAAGGTTCTGAGGGGTTTGATTTGTGAAGGAGAGTTTACACAGGAATCCTGATGCAGAGAGTAAGAGATGGTAGCTTGTCTCTGCCATTGATCAGAATCAGTCCGTGTGCCATAAGCTCTGTCACTGACGTTTCAAAGCAGTCCGTTCAGTCCCACCCAGCCAGTACTCATAATCTTAGTAGAGATTATGCAGGGAGCATGAATTGAACAGAGTGTAAATATGTATCACCCCGGAAGTCAAGATGAGAGAAGAGAGATACATTCACAATTCACAATTACCCACATTGTTGACTTGTCATTCCCTTGTCAATGCTTTCCAATCCATTCTTTGACCTCATCTCCTACCCTCTCTCCTCGGCGATGTATCATTTCTCCTTCGGGTCGGCGAGCGTCTCGGAGGCGTATCATCATCTCTTCGACGCCGAGGAGGAGAATCTTCATTGTATTTCCTTCGTGGTGGGGTATCATCCCTTCTTTTCCTTGGAGGTGAATCATCATCCCGTCTCTTCGGAGGTGCATCATTGTTCCTTCTTTTTCTTGGAGGTGAATCATCATCCCTTCGTCTTGGAGGTGATCTTCTAGGTGGAGATCCTCTTCCATTTCTTCTGGGAGAAACACTCTCGCTATATCTCCTTCGTCTGGGTGAAGGCGATCTCCTTGGTGGTGACGCTCTACGTCTGGGTGGTGGTGAAGGTGAGTTGGGGCCCCTTCGCCTGGGTGGTGGAGAGGTTGATGACGAGTATCGCTTCCTGAGTGGAGACCTTGAATACGTATAACTCCTATTCCTCCTTGGTGATCGCGAATCACTTCTTCCACGTCTTCTTGAATAATCCGAGTCCGACTCGCTGTCGCTGCTACTCGTAGATGACGAATCGCTGGAGATATCGGAAGAAGAATCGGAATCTGAGCTTTCAGCAGCTTTCATAGCTGCATGTTGTGCAGCAAGGATTTTCGGGGCGTTTTGTAAATATGTCCTCATACTCTCTGTCACTCGACCAAGACCGATGGAAGTGAAATAATTGATAGCAAATCGAGTATTCTTTGGATTATCCATTGGGAACATACCCCTGAACGCTGGTTGTAAATCGGGAATTGAAAATCTTTCCGTCAATTTGATGATACCGACTTCTTCCAACATTTCCTGCATGAGGATCTTGACGAATATACGTGAAGAGGAAGTTGTTTCTTCTTCGTTCATATGAACAACATGCAATACAGCCCAGGAGACACCGTCTGAAGCGAGAAGATGTCCGAAGAAACGACCGATATTACGAAGTTTGTTGGTTTCGTATCGATGAATCGTGTCGTAATACCTTTGGAAAGCCTCTTGGAAGGATTCAGTCCAGATTCGGTTCAGCTTGCAGAACCGTTCACCGATGAGACCATAGAAATTGGAATAGGTACGTTCTTGAGAACAACATTCAACGATCATGTTACATAATTCGATCTACACTGTCAGCATATAACCGAGTAAGATTGCTTGAAACTCACCTCGCGACCTTCCGGAATGTTGACCTTCATGAGTTTGTGTACTGCTTCTTCGAAGTTGAGCTATGAGTCAGTGTCTGTCTTGGGCAGGAGAAGTGGCGACTCACAGAGTTCATTATAGTTAGATATATAGTTTTACGTAGGTTGATGAGATTCGTCTCTGTCATATCGGTTATACCGGCCTTTTCAGGGGCGATTGCCTCATCTTCCTCGTCTGACTCCGTCTCATCACTCCCTGATTCACCTTCCTCGTCATCCGAATCACCAAGGATCTCCTTCTTGATCTGCTCGTACTTCTCCTCGTTATCCAGGAAGTGAGGATCAACCTTGAACAGATTCAAGCTCTCTTGAACTTGCAATTCATCATCCAAAGTGATTCGATGGGTAATTTGTTCTTCCTCCTCGACCAAGTCCAATCCTTCTGGGATCTGAGGGTTGTCCTTGTACTTATCTTTGCGTACTTGAAACAAAACTTCAATCATATACTGACATCGTTTGCTAATCGCCCCTTCGTGTAATACCGCCCGGAATCGTTCAAAGACGGTGTTGTTGGCCTTTGGACTGTTTTCCGCGAGGAAAAGACCGACTTCTCGCATGAAGCCCACAGCTACTTCAATTGAATCATCGGTGGGACGTTCGAGACAGAGGAGAAGGATCTGCAGTGCGACAATTTCATGCGCGACGTACTGATTGCAGAGATGGGCGATAAACGTGGACGTGGCATGGCAGATAGTCTATAAATGAGTACACTGAGAGTTTGATCTTATATGATGATGCTCACTTTGTCATTTCTCTTGTAAGCACGACGGAATTGACTGATGAGGCGAATCAACACCAGCTCGCCGACTTGAGGGAGCTTTGTATTGACGATAGCCACCAAAGCGGCAAACACCGGAGTGAAAGGCAACGATGCCGCTTGAGCTCTCATGACTGATCGAGCGAACAGACCTTTCCCTCGAATCAAATTCTCCCCGAACAATTCCGGAACCACATGCTTGATATTTGATACGTTGACCTGCGTGATTAGCTTTGATGGTTTCACGTTGTGACTGCAAATACGAACCTTGTTGATCAACCCATTGATACTTTTCCTCAGCGCATCCCAACTCATCCTCTGGTATTCAGAGCTCGTCTTATCTTTCGCAGCATCGGCTTGCATAGCTCGTAGTCGGGCTGGGGGTATGTATGCACCTCCACTTCGTGATCCCAACAACTTTGCAAATTCTGCTTTTGCCACCTCGCTCGATTTCCCATTGGTCTGAACCAGAGCGCCGTTGGTTGATCCGTTGCTGTTGGCTTGCATCTCGGACTCAATCTGCTTTTCCAACATGGCAACTTCGCGTGCACGCTTTCGAAAAGGATCAACGTCGTCCACACGAGGAGGGGCAATAGTGGAAACATTGCTTGGACGTGGAGGTGTTTTGGTACGGGAACGGGAGCGACGACGGCGGGCCGGTGGTGAAGACGATCTCTCCCGAGGCCGAGGTGATGTAGAACTGAAAAGTCAGCAAAATCAACAGGGTGTCGCGGTACTGACCGTTTACGTTTGGCGACAGGGGCGTCATCTGGAGAGGGACTTCTGACCAATGATCTTGACGAAGCTCTCGATATGGACCGACTTGGAGAGCGCGACATTGTGAGATATTTCCCAATTCCACCTTGGCGATAACTCCTAGCTCACTTGCTGAGATGAAGGGATGATGTGTTTTCGAGAACGTGGACAGAGTTTGGGTAAGAAATACGAGATTTGAGAGAGGGAGGGAAGAAATTGGGAAAGGTGATTAAATTGGGGGGATCAATTACGTGATCACCTACTGTATCACCATCCACTTAGGACATTCCATTCAGGATTCGACCACTACTACTACTCACCGCATCTCATCTCAAGTGCGCAACATGGCAATATCATCCACGTCAGCCGCTCATGCTCACGCTGTACTCCTAAATTCTCTCACAGAAGCCTCTAATCTCTATCCCAAGGAGGAGGGCGTCACTTACAGCTATGGAACAGCTGGTTTTAGGACATTGTAAGTCGTTTCTCCCTCCGACCGCAGACCTCTTCGTTATACGGATACTGACAAGTGATAGGGGGGCAAAACTTCCAGCTGCCGTATTTCGAACAGCTCTTCTCGCCGTTTTACGTTCCAAACGTCTCGAAGGTGCTTCAATAGGTGTCATGATCACCGCTTCTCATAACCCTGAGCCTGTAAGTCCTCAATCCTTCTGGACATGGCTGATGCTTCCAGGATAATGGGGTCAAGATTGTCGATCCTTCTGGTGAAATGTTAGATCCCACATGGGAACAACATGCCACCGCCCTATCGAATTGCCCTTCTACCGACTCCCTCATTTCCACTTTCACCACTCTCGCCACGCATCTTCACGTGGATCTGTCCCAGCCTGCATCTATAATCTTCGCACGAGATACACGACCCAGCGGACCTGATTTAGTCAAAGCATTGGAGGCTGGTCTCCATGCATTTGGTGATAATGTGAAGATCAAGGATGTAGGAGTGACCACGACCCCGATATTACACTATGTGGTCAAAGCTACCAATGATCAGTCAGGAACATATGGCGCACCGACCATTGAGGGGTATATGCAGAAGATGTCTAAAGCTTTCAAGGAGCTTGTCGTGAGTTCTATCGTGGTAAATCATCTTGGTGCTGATTAACAAGGGAATAAGAGGTCCTTTGGTACCACTCTTTGTGGATTGTGCGAATGGAGTTGGCTCCTCTGCGGTGGACACAATGATACCTCTCATCGAGGACGTCCTTTTACTAAGACCGATGAATACTGCCACAGGGACCAAAGGGGCCTTGAACGATGAGTGCGGAGCCGATTATGTGAAGACGAAACAAGCGATGCCACCAAATCTCGCTCAACTAGGAACGTTAGACAAGCCGGGTACCACAGGATGCAGTTTTGACGGCGATGCGGATCGAATTGTTTTTTACTATGTGGAGGATGCGACCAGAACCTTCAAGCTACTCGATGGAGATAAGATCGCTACCATGGTGGCCGTATACTTCAAGGAATTGTTGTTACGAACCAAATTAACAGGAGAGGAAAAGCTCAGTATGGGAGTGGTTCAAACGGCTTACGCCAATGGTAGTTCTACAAAGTATCTCGAGAGTGTGAGTTTTGCCAATTGTGGTTTGGCGATCCTGACACATAGCGAGATATACCCGTCGAATGTGTACAAACAGGCGTCAAGCACCTGCATCACGCAGCGAAGAAATTTGACATTGGGATATACTTCGAAGCCAACGGACATGGTACCGTTCTTTTCTCCCCACATGCTATCGAAACACTCCGAAAAGCATCCCCCGTCACACCCGAAGCAGGTAACGCTATCCGTCATCTCTTAAACTTTTACGAATTGATCAACCAAGCTGTCGGTGATGCCATGTCCGACATGTTACTCGTCGAAGCCGTTCTCGCGCATAAGGGATGGGGATCTTCAGAGTGGAACGCAGGTTATCAAGATTTACCAAATAAACTGGAAAAAGTGATTGTACCTGACCGAAACCATTTCGTGACTTATGATGCGGAAAGAAGATTGAATCATCCTGTTGGTTTACAAGAATTGGTCGATGTAGAAGTTGGAAAATATGAGATGGGAAGGGCTTTCGTTAGACCTAGTGGGACGGAGGATTGTGTTAGAGTGTATGCGGAGGCTAAGACCAAAGAAGATGTCGAAGGTGAGTTCTGTCTACATACCACAAAGGTCGCAAGCTGAAATGGTAGTGCTGATTGGGAATGTGGCGAGGTTGGTACAGGAGGCAAGTACGGGAGAGAGTATGGCCGTCGTTTCTTGAGTTTTCTCTTTATATGTCTAGTGTCGGAAGAGATAGGACGGAGGAGTCTGTTGTGCATAGAACTTACCTGTATACAATTATGATGCATTGAACATTGTCACGACCACCTTCAAGCATGCTTACTGTATGACTGTTGTGACTGACCATAAGTAATACCAAGGACAGGATATTCGGAGCCCCGGTTCAAGGTGCCCCATGCCCCATCTATCGTCCAGCTGTTTCCATCACTCTTCTCCCATCACCTACCTTCGTTCTTCGCCTCACATCTAGTCTCAAGACAATGTCTTCTTCCAAAGGGTCAGTTGTTACTGCCAACGGTAATCCAAGCTGACATATAGAGTCAGACGAGCTTCCCATGCTGGGTCATGGTACGATGCCAATCGTCAGTCCCTTCCTTCCTTCCTCTTCTTCGTCCTGACCGTCCTTCTCATGTCTCATCAAACCCATCTTCATCCTCGAGACCACCGACAAATCAACTCCCATCTCATCGTTCACTTCTGATCCGGGGAATATGTCTTGATTCCCGATTTTTGAACGTATGTGGAAGAACGAAATCATCAGTACCCTCATTATCATCATGTGATGGATACAAGTGGGAAGTAGAGGGATATACCGACTCGGAAAGGTGACTGAAAGATGGAGTGTAAACGTATCGCCTCAGATATACTCCTATACTCCCGACACATTGAGAGACAAAGTGTCAAGCAACGGAGACTAGTGAAAAACCCATACAAGGGAATGATATCTGGATGACAAAATGTAACCATCATGCTGATGAATAGCTATTCAACTGAAAGAAGAATTAGAATCAAATTTATCTCAAGTCGTACCTCTCCCTACTTTAGATTATAGTCCTCCGTGTCAAGATGCGAAAGCTATTATCAGTCCGTGAGTTTTTATCAAAGTGTTGTGGTCTTATCTGATGATAGACATGCGGGATATACGTATTCTGGTCAAGCTGCAGCTTGGGCTTATGCTTCTATACCTACTGATAGATAGTAAGATCACCCTTACTCCTTCTCTATCTCTTGACGTAATACACTTAGGGCGTATGTTTGTAGACTTTCCATCCGTCTGTTTCATATTCACGAGAGAAACACAGTCAAAAAGGTAGACGTGACTTGTGTCTCCTTCAGCTCAGAATAGTCGAAGAGAGAGGGGTAAAACTTGGACAAAAAAGTAAGAAAGGCGTGTTTTGCTGGAATGGTTGATATGTCCATTCTGTTTTTTCACATGAAGAAAACAAGGGGTAAAGGTAAACTTATCATCAGTAAAAAGGTATTCGTCATAGGTCCATCACATCATCAAAGTTTTCATGGTATAGCATTATCACCATTCAAATCTTATGCCACGCCATTTGGAGAGATATTGCTTTGTACGGATAGTGAGTTTTTTACATTCCTTATTAAAGATTTTCTTCAACTTGAAGACGAGACGGTCGGAGTATCCTTTGAGAAGCTGATTAACAGCCATTCAGGCTCTTCGTGAGACTGGAGAGTTTACTCAGATGAGATCGGCTGGAGATGAAGAAGAACATTCTTTAGAAATGCAAATGCCATATTTGAGATTAATATTTCAAGGGTAAGTTCTACTACCCATCACTGTTGAACAATATTTGAAAATTTACCATCTACCGAGCCTTTCACTGCTCCAACTGTTGAACAAGACCTTTCTTGTGATAATAGCTATCTACGTGAAAGTGAGAAAATATGAAACTGATGATATAGCCGAGACGACCTTCGATTAGTCCCTCTGATCGTCTCGCATCCCACTGCTGCGCAATATGAATCTTACGCTTCCATCTTAGCTCCATATTGGAACGACCCAGAGTCATTTTTCGTATTCAGCACGGACTTTTGTCATTGGTGAGTTTCTCCTCTTCCCTTTTGTTGCACAATTCCCTACTAATTTCTTCTCGTCAACCTCCCTTCTGATGTTCTCATTCAGAGAATTCGTCTTAATGGCCAAAAGCATAGAGAACAAACTCTGACATTTTAGGGGATCTCGATTCTCTTACACAAACTACTACCCCCAAGCTCCCTTCCCTGAGGATCCCGTCCCTCCTATCTCTTCTCCCGGCGAAAAGCCCGCAATTCCCTTAACCATGCGCAGTACACCAGGCGGAGGAGGTCAAATCTGGCAAAGTATCCAATATATGGACCATGAAGGTATTGCCATTCTACGCGATCCTACCAGTCCAACTGCTGTTGACGATTGGAATGCTTATTTAAATCGGACGGGTGTGAGTTTACCGTGTGAAAATAACATCAAAAGACATGGATACTTACATCCAGAACACGATCTGTGGTAGATACGGTTTATCCCTTTTTCTCCATTTGGTCAAAAAAGTGTACGGAAGTTCTAGTGGTAAAAATGTCAAAACGACGTTTGTGAGGTATGAACAGAATGAGAAATGTCATACTTCGCGAGATTCCAGTGTTAGTTATGTGAGTGGGGTAGTGAGGGTTCAGTAAAGTAAACCCATTGGAGTAGGTCATTGAGTTGTATAGATCTTTCGTAAGGATGATGTAGGTTTTGTAAACGCCATGAAAGGATGAGATATATATGTTGCATGTGGGTTTAGTCGAGGTCGAGAACTTTGTATCCTGTCACCTGATGGTCAGTCACATTTTTTCAACAAAGATACGCTTTGCTGGCTTCCGTTTGCTCCGACCAAACAAAGTGAGACGAACACAGGAGGACACTCGGGTTACAAATCATCACGAGACATGAGAGTGGGGACATAGGAGATGGAAGGAGTAAGAAGAGTGCCCCAAGTGGACTCAAGATTAGGTAGCGACAGCACATAATCATGAAGTTTTAAATAAAGAAAAGGAGGAAACAAAGAAATATGATGAACGAATGCACCCACCTTGTTATCCCTTATCATAGCCGCATACTTCTCCGCTAACTCTTTACAGTTTTTAAGATGATTGACACCTTCTCCACGGTAACATTTCTGAAGTTCCGTTCTGACCAAACGTGCTTCCATCGCTTTCACCCATGATTCTCTTATATGAAGTTCACGTTCTTGTATGACCTCTGTAGGATCAGTTGTATTTCACTTTCAACTTTGAAGCCCAGGGAAAGCAACGACGGAAAGGCATTCCAGCCATGTACCATGATGTATAATAAATCTCCTCCATATTTCTTGATTTCTATGACACATAAGTGTAATAGACCTCTTCTTTAGAAATATCGATACTGGACTTCTCCACTCTAAGGAGAATACTCGTACTACAATACACACATTCGTTAATCTTGTCGACCTGATTGGAATATGAGGCTTAGATGACGGGAAAAAAGATTGACTCACTTCGGTACTCTTCCATACTAGGTGTTGACATGTTGAGCTCAACTTGTCATCCACCAGACCTGTACCCAGACTTGATTGTAAATTCCGAACGGAGAGAGGAGTGGCACTCTATTTCAAAAGGTCTGAACAGAGTTGACAGAGAGTGAGAAGGAGTGATAACCTTTTCGGTTTCAAAACACACGTCATCTTTTTTGTTAACGCGACTGCTTTTTCCACTGTGGATCGGGGGGAAAATCAATTTAACCGATCGAAACATTTGTCTGTGCTCAAACAACTAGACCTTTTCTTCTCACTTTCTTCTCACACTCTTTTGCAACATGACATCTTATTTTCTTCCCAATTCCGACTAGTCCACGGTAGAGATTTCACTAGCGCCTGCGAAATATTCCCCACACGTTTTACTTCGTTCCCGCTCTTCTCGTTTCTCTTCGATCATACAGTACTTATCAAATCTTCCAAACAAGGAAAAAACCCGACATAGTGAGAAATGACAATTTCGTATTTTCTTGTACGTTGTTTTTCAGTTTCCTCATTTCTGTATTGACATTCCATTCGATCTAGATTCTAGGATCTAGACTTTCATCAGGAATGACGAATCGTTTTCACGAATATTCATCATATCATACCACTACTAGCATTATTTCAATTCCTTCCTTGATTCCTCATTGGTCCTTGGTCTCATGGTCCTCGCTTCTCACTCACTCACGTATACTCAATACATCTGGATATTTCTCAATGTGCTTACGTTCCCGTCATGCCGGAATTCTTCAACGTAGAGTCAGATCATAGATAGTACACAAGATGGCTGAACCTCATGACCCTATACTGAGATGACCGAAGTGGACATTAGATGACGGTCATACGGATGACGGCTTAACGGAGATCAAGGAGAAAGTAACGTTTTCTAACATTTTTTTAACTTAGTCACCATTTCTCTCCACGCCACTCTATTCAAGATTTCATACATATATATCTACCCTTTCTCATCTCTCATCTTCTTCATCCCACATCTCTTCTTCTCTTTCTTTCATCTTAAAGTCACCTCTTCATCTGGGACTTGTTTCTCTATCTATTCTTAAGTCATATCATACTATCATACACAATATGACACCTCGTTCTAATCATCCTTACGGAGTCATCGGTCCTCCTTCTAGAAGCCCTTGGGATGCTGTGGTAGCTCGACCTACTCCAACTTGTTCAGCTATGGCTCAACTGTTTGCAGGGGGTGATCCGGAATACGAACATATTGTTCAAAGGTTGAGGTCCACACCTTCCCGCAACACTCCGAGGTCTAGTACCGCCAGTGAGCAGACACCAGAGACTAAACACAGTGTGAGTTACTTCATTGCTTTATCCTACCCATGACTTCCGGCAATCTTTGACCATTACATACCTTCTCAGTCTCCTCATTCGTCTCTTCACCGTACTCCGAGTCTTATGACCTGGCAGTGATATCTTGCTCTCTACACATGAGATCTCTTCTCTTCACGTGCTCAATATCTCCTGTCAATTTGACCGAGGCTGATCATCAGGACCAGGCGACAGAAAACAATCTACCCACACCTCAATCCCTGCAGAGCGCTTCACCGCTCCCTACCACCTCGGAGAGCGCTTCTTCCACTGAACAACCCCGATTACTACCTAGCGCACCTGCACCCATTGTATTTGGAGATGGTGGAAATAATATCTGGCGTATGCTCCCATCCACAGATGTAGCTACGGGTCTTGGTATCGGAGTTGTTTACGCTCCTCGTCCTCAGTTTACAAGGGTGAGTTTCTTCATCCCATGTGACTCACTCATACTTCACATGACAGATATCATAGCTCTAATCTCCCTTACGACCCCATTGTACTTTTTCTCTTGTGGAAATGAGTATTGAGTATGTAAGGTGTAGACCTTTGAATCACCGCTGACATGTCAGATTGTTAACGAGATGGATCCCGCACACAGTGACATAGTCCGATCAGCAATGTCGGAAATCCCTCTCGATCATCTCAGTTGTCGAGATGCCATGGAAACCCTCACGATGGAACTTTGGACATGTTTTTCTAAACGTCGAGCTCAATTGGAGCGTAGGATAGATCACCTCGAAGAGTTACGTGGTCAGCTTAACAAGACTTACACCGAACTGCATCAACGTCACGTAGAATTGTGGCAACAAATGAACCATTACCAGAGTTACTTCGGACCTATGCGATCACAGTCGAGCATGGGCTCTCAACATTTTGGACCCCCGGTGAGTGGACATTCCTTACCCCCACCCACTCTTCATCCGTCTGAGCCATCATTTGTCCAAGCCAATAGGGATGTGACGTCTGTGCCGTCTACAATTTCCAAGGCCGTTAATCGACCTTTTTGGTCTTTCTTTCCGTTGTCACAAGGACGAGAAGCTGACCCATCCAGCGCACTCGAGACTGGAGCCCTGAAGAAGTGAGAGACTTGATGGAAAATGGACGTCTCGAAATGGATCCCCTGCCAAATCTCGCCATTCCTGGTGCACTACTTTTGTTGTCTAATCCACCTTACGGGTTTAGCTCCACGAGCCAGTCAGTCTTCCCTCCGAACACGATTTTGACAGACACTGACAATACAGGCTTGTCAAAAACCTTGTTTCAGCTCTTGGAGTGAGTTTTTACCACTGCGGACCTTGTTTAGGACTGAGATTATAGGCTTGTATTGATGTGGACATGACTCGTCAGCTTTCCGTCGACCTCATCCTCAATCACGCCAGGGAACTTTGCCTCAGCCCCGAAGGTAACCGACTTTGTCAAACTTTCCTCGACAGGGCAGATCCACTTGATCGAGAGAGATTCATTGAAAAGATCAAGTGAGTCACCTCTTCGTTCTATAAACATCTCGGCTGATATCTCAGTCAGCACCTCATTGAACTTCTGCAGGACAAGCACCGAGCTAGAAAAGTGATCATGCACGCTGCGCAACAGGAGCGACTCCAGGTCAGTCCCTCAGCTGTTTCCGAGCCTCATCGGCTGACAACCAGACTTTGATGCTCGCAAGGATGCAGACTCTGGGCGCCTATGAAACTCTGCTCGCTGGTGGAGTATGCGTTTGGAGAGATGTGAGTAGCTCATGATCATCCATAAAATACTCCGCTGACATTCAGTATCTCGTCCGTTGCCGTATGGCAGGTGAGCAGGAAACGTTCGAACAGTAAGTTGGGTCATATATTGCTGGGGTCAGACTGATCGGTAGCTTTGCCAAAGAACTACGAGGAAAGTGGGCCGATCTGTGTTGCGCGAGGGAAGAGGGAACTATCGCCGTCCAACAATTGGTTGAAACCCTCGCCGACGACAATAACCCTGGTCAGATTGATAACCCTGCCATCAAGACTCTCATGGTGAGTGAGATGGAGCTCTGAACATCATGTGTGCTTAGCTGACGTCAAGGGAGAATGTCTCACTGAGATCATCGATTCCCTTCAACGTTGTGCCGCGGATGAATATGGACAGTGAGTTGGATCTCATCAACATACCTGTGGAAGCGGCTGATATCGTACAGCTTCACCGTGGAGAGAATGCTGGATGTCAACGCCACTCGAGAACCCATCAGCCGAGCTCTCGTAGAAGCTGATCCTCCCATCGCGCGTACTATTCACGGAGCCAGTGTGGTCGTTCGAGTCTTCCCGAACAGAAATCACCTGAGCACCTACATTCGTAAAATTTGCACCAAGAGCAATGGAGCCGATCTGGGAATTGTGACCATCACCAAATCACCCGGCGCTGCTAAACACAGTGAGTTAAGAAATGTATCATGTTGTATCGTGACTGACTCTCAGATGAGATTCTTCGACGTAGCGTCATGATGGTCGGAGGGGCCATGCACAAATGTGGCAATGTTTATTCTCAATCGTACTCCACCGTCCCGAAGGTATTACGAGACGCATGTTTAGAATCGGCGGCTACAATCAGGTCGACCAAAGAAGGTGTTGATCTACATGCCTGGGCGTGAGTCCGAATCACACGATGTCTGAATTTTGGCTAATCATCAGAACTGGTTCTAGCAGACCCATGCCGAGGGCTTACCCACCAATCGCTCCTAGACTTCAGGAAGAGGCGGCAAATAGACCCGTCGGCTTTCAACCTCGACCTCAGTGATCAGTGATCGTCTGTCATATCCAACGGTTTTAACTTTTCACTCTGTCCTCTCATCAACAACATGTTTATATCATCCTCTATATGTGTATCAATCGACTTGCATCCTGGGCCTCACGATCTGTTATGAAGAAAACCAAAAACGTTAAAAAAAAACACAAAAACAACCGCGACATCCTGGATTACCATCCCTATTTTCAGTGATCAGCAGTAGTGATATACCCAACATCAACTCTCACGACATTTCCATCTCATATCCCATTTCCAAGTCGTCGTTCGTTTGCTTCACCTACGTCCTGGAACGAATCGTTCGACACCTCCTTCACCTCATCTTTCATTCATCTCACTCTCACATGACTCAAGACATTCACACACTGGCTTTGCCCATGAATCTTGCGCCAAAGTCGAAAATCAGAACGGAAGTCAATTCTGCCAATGGCAAACACCAACACAATTTATTTCTAGATTTCCCTTCAGATCCATTGATTTACATTTGTTCATTTGTTCATCCAGTTCAACACAATTTTCATCATTCATATTTTCTTCAGTTTTCAAACATATCAAAACCATACTTCATCCTTATCATCAAACGTTGTATCTTGTCTCTATCATGTTGTACGCTGCGGGGATTCGACGAAGTGATAGATAGGGATGATTGATTTTTTTTACATCTTTTCGTATTTTCACATGTATTGTTTCTTGCGTTTTCTGCTTCTGGATCTTTCAAATGTCACTTTGACCGCGCTCAGTACACACTCAGCATGAAATTGTCTCTCTTGTAGTACACGAATACAGTACGTTGGATTTAATGGTAAGATCATAAGACCGTGTCTGATAAGATCCAAAGATGATGAGCTAGGCAAGATGGCAGAATGAAGAGATGCAGATGTTGAATACATACAGTAACACAAGGAAAGGTATCACAGTTGATGTCGTTTTTTGGCAGTACGGAGATAAGGTCTCAAAAGCCATTCCACGTCTGCTTCTCTTTGGTCCAAAGTACCTTGACGTATTTCGTACGCTATTTTGTCAGTGGGGTGTATGAAGAGTATGGGCGAACAAGCTTCTTAAACTCCACTCAAGCTGAGATAGAAGTAGGGAATTTACGCAAGATATCGTTTAGAGGGAAGAACTGTGGTTACGTTCCTTATAATGATTTGAAATTTAACAGGAAGGATGTGGTTAGGGAAAGAACGACAAGGGGGAAAGAAAAACTAACGTTTGGCTTCGAACCTTGGACCAACTTCTGCTAATTGTACATCTTTATGTGAAGTTTTAGCGAAGACGTGATGTCTGGTATATCAGTTTTTCTCTTGTTTTCTCTTCTTCACTTCAGATTTCTCCTCTACTTCGAATACCTCCTCTACATCAAACTTCTTCCGTTCCTCACTTATATACTCTTCATAAGATATCTTCTCTACTTCAAATATCTTCTCGAAATAAAGAAAGATCAAATATCTCCTCCACCCCAGATCATCCTTATGAAAGTTCCGACCCATTCCAAAAGAAAAAAAGAAGAACCCAACCACTCACCTAAAACTGATAAAATCCTTTTCATTAACAAAACTCATCACCCTCTTGGCATCTTCTTTAGGAACAGGAAACAAAGCTTTTAATATCCCTTTCACCCTTTCACCTAATTTCGTACTGAAACCTTCAAAGATGAGATGAGGATATTGTTCCGAAACGGTACTTTCCGAATGACTACTGACATCATGTCTTAATGTAACATTATGTAATGTCATACTTATAGTTGGACCATGTGGTAAATGTGAAATTATGAGTGCGTCGGGTACACCTCTATGTTCATGTATGATTATCAAATCTGTCATACCTTGTGATAAACATGCTTGAACTAGGGAAGGTGAGGTTGTGTTACCTCTGTTTAATCGAAAGGAATTTGGGAAGATTAAACGGAGTTCCTTTTTTGGTCAGTTTCTTACCAATACTCTACCAATGCTTTTATACACTGGAACGCCAATTTTCCTGGTTCAACACTACATGATGTGACTTTCGAATTTGAATCTGATGTACTTCCACCTGGATTAGATGAAAGAAATGACGGACTTTCTTCCTATACCTAGACAAGCGAAGACGCGAGAGAGGGAAATTGAATGGAAGTGGAAAAGTGTTGAAGGAGGAATGCGCAATAATAGGTGGGAAGTAGAGGGATGGTGGAATGGAGAGGAATAATTTGACAGTCAAGAAAGAAAGAAAAAAACCCACTTTGGAAAATTGTAATAATCGAGAAGAAGGTGATCGACTCGTAGTTATAACAATCTTTGGATCATAAGTTCCAACCTTTGCGTATTCATCATCTATATGATTCTTAGGCTCCTGTTGACTTTCATCCAAAGCTAAATCTTTGCTTAATGTCTTTGCGTCCGCTTTCAGTTCGTTAGGTATAGGTTTACCAGCGGCGAGAAGATCTTTTATACGTTGTTTTCTTTCGTATATTGCACGTTCTTGCGATTCTAGAGATTTCTTGTAGATGTATTCTCTACGTTCACGAGTTTGACGTCGGAGCTGATGTTCAGTATGTGTGTGTGTGTTTGTGTTGTATATATGAAGGTGACTTACCATGGTTGGGAACGACTACTCTATACAACAAAAGTTGAGAGGGACGTTTTGCGAAAATCTCGAGCATTAAGATCTTCGCATGCCTACCTTTCATGAGTGGGAGATACAGTACATGGCACGCCTAATAAAAGGGATCGATCGTCGTCTCGTGCCTGAAAGTATGTACCCTAGATGAGAATCTGTACAGGAGCCACCAACGTGCTCACTTTCTCCACAATCACAACTACTACTTGTCTTCTTTTTCAGTCGGATATCGGTCGTACTCGCGCTCCCTCTGCCATATCAGGGCAGAGGAGTGTCTTCAGGATTTCTCATAGAGTGCTCTAAGCTGCCCATCATGCGTCTTCCTCGTTACATAGCAATCCTCCCCCTGACGCTCAACGTCATCGCCGACCAATCCCCCTTCTCCACAAACCCAGATACATCTTCATCGACACTCAGAAGACGTGAGTTGTTCCTCTCGTGCTTAATTGAGCTCATAATTAGCACTCAAAGGTCGTTTTCTACACGTGACCGATATTCACCCTGACCCTCACTATAATCCCGGATCCAAAGTCAGCGATGGATGTCACAAGAAGCAAAAGCACAAGGGCAAGAGCACAGTAATGCCCACTCTGTCAGACGAGTCAGATCATCAAGAAGATGAAGGATTGTGGAGAAAGAAAGAACAATTAGCAGGAGATTGGGGAACTCCCGTCACGTAAGTCTACCTATACAGCTATCAAGTTGATCTAACATGTTAGGGAATGTGATTCACCAATGTCACTCGTGAAGATGACCTTTGAATGGTTGAAGAAGGAATGGGCGGATGAAGTTGATTTTGTGGTTTGGACTGGGGATAATGCCAGGTAAGCTTTCACATCACATTTGCCTATTAATAGAGCTCTTTTGATCACCGATCGTAATGGAGCTGAGTATAGACATGATATAGATCGTGATATCCCACGAAGACCCGATGAGATCTACGAGCTTAATCGTCTCATGGTCGACCTCATGAGAGATGCTTTTCCTCCTCATGTACATATCGTACCTAGTATAGGTAACAATGATATCTATCCTCATAATGTGCTAGCTGCTGGACCTAGTTCGATAAGTTCGGAGTATGGCAGGTATGTCCTTTACCCTTCAAACTTGGTCCACATGGGCCTTTCATTCCACCAACACATAAGTGTAACAGATCACATGAAAGCTGCTGACAGAACATAGGATATGGAAACCCTTCATTCCCTCCGACTATCGTCATGTCTTCGAACGTGGTATGTACTTCAGTGCAGAGGTTATTCCAGACCAACTTGCTGTCATATCTCTCAACACGTTATTCTGGTACGACTCAAACACTCGTGAGCTATTAGGCCCATCACAAAGCTAAGCTTACAGCACAGTTGTTGACGGGTGCGTGGATCGAAGCTCCGACCCAGGTGCTTTGGAAATGGACTGGTTGGAGGTACAACTGGAAGAACTCCGAGATAGGGAGATGCAAGTTTGGTTGACCGGACACGTTCCACCTCATGCGGGAAACTATTTTGAAACTTGTTGTGAGTGTATTGACACAGTGTTCCACGAATCTGGCTAAGTGACAGACCTTCGATATGGAGATCTGGCATTACGATATCAAGATACTATCGTCGGACATCTCTTTGGACACATGTGAGTTTCTCTCAGGTTGATACGTGTCCTCCTGACGAAGTAGGAATGTCGATCATTTCTTCTTTTTAGACGTTATAGAGCTTGAAGAGTCTTCCAAACGTGGACTCAGACCGAACACCACCGCCCACCAAAGAGCTAGGGCGAGCGGTGCGTTTGGAACCTTTGGCAGGTCCGCCAACAATGGTCTGAGAGATGAATTGAAGAAAGATTTTGGGGAAATGCCTGGTCCTCAAGCTATCAAGTTGAAGGACTATGTCGTGGTCAACGTAGGCGCCAGCGTCATTCCCACTTATCTCCCAGGAGTTAGAGTGTACAGGTGTGTTCAATCTCCTTCCTGCCCCTCGAATCCAGCATGTTTACTATACCTTCCGAACATATCTCCCTTCATTCGATCGCCTACTTTAGGTGTGGTTCTTTTACTCACGGCATTGCCCATGAGAGGGTGATAGAGGTCCTTCGATGTGCCAAGCTAAAAGCCAGTTACAACATATCCGGTCTCGATGACGAAATCACAATTGCCAAGAAGCGAAAACACGGTCATCGTCATGATAAACCCAAAGACGACTGTTCACTTCCTGAACATCAAGATAAGCCTCATTGTACATTCAAACATAAACCGAGATATTACAACAAGACCTCTCCATCACGTTCGAATCGTCCTCTTACCCCTCTTGGCTATACTCAATTTTATCTGCCTGACATGGATCAGAATAAGAATCATCAACCGGAATGGAAAATCGAGTATACGACACATAGAGTGGAACATCTCATCCCATCAAATACCAGTATGAATTTGCAGCTGCAACCTCCACCTATCCCATTACATCTCTTACCGGAGTATGATCCCATCCTCTTCGACCCTGAATCTCTCACGCCAACGAAAGGTAAAGCTGGAGACGAGCCAGAAGGAGATGGGGAGAAGGATGTGCTGGAGATGAGAAGAAGTTTTGAGAAAGCATTGAAGAAGATCACACCGTGGAAAATGAAAGATCTGACAATTGGGAGTTATGTCAAGCTGGCCAGGAAATTAATAGCGGATAAGAAGATGTGGAAGCAGTTTCAGAATTTCATGTGAGTTTCAGCTCCGATTCAGATTGTTTTGAGATAGAGAGGATGACGAGCTGACATAGTAGGTTTGTATCCTCGGATGCTTAGTTGTATATTTGAGTCTATCACGATGTTGTCATGCCACATTGCATTGAATCCATTGAAATGCATCACGATCAATCATCTCTTTTATTCTTTCCCTATTGACTCATCCTCGTCCAATCCCATAACCTTCAAGTTTTCCACCTTGTTCCGACGAAAAGTCGCAATCTCTCCACTACAGAACGCTTCAAACATTCTATTCACGCAGCGGTCACAATTAGAGAGATCTTTCAAAGTATCTATCATTGCGTCATCTATCTCATCTCCCTCTCTGAGATGTTCCACCGCCCTGGCGACTCTCCACGCTGCAACATATTTGAATCTCTCCCAATCACAATGATATTGTCTTAACGTTTCACATCTCACTTCACATTTCCTCGAAAATATTTCTCCACCAGGTGTATGACTTTTCGTATCATCCACCAAATCTTCTTTCAATCGTTCGAAAGATTTGACATGAGATATATGATATTCGTGTAATTGTATCAATTGTATCGGAGCGTATCCGACCAATACGTTTCTAATCCATTTAGGTATCTTTCCCATGCCATATTTGAGTGAGTCGATCGCAGATTCTCTAGCGGCTTCTGGATTATTTGATAATAACGCCAAAGTGAAGTCGAGGAATGTATGAATCGCTCCTGATTTGTTTAAACTTTGAAAGATGGTTTGTCTACATCGATAAATATGAGTCAAGACTGGTCGGAGGTCATAAGCGTCGCAAATCCTGAGAACACCTTCAAACACCATTCCAACAGTTTTGGGATCTATCACGGGGATCGGAGCTGAGTCGGAGAAAGAAAGTATTATCTTGAGACAAAATGCCAATGATTCTGATGAGGCCGAAGGGAGGTAAAGAGGTTCTCCCGGTTCAAGAGAAGGTATAGTGTTGAAAAATGGAGATAAGATGGAAAGTAATGGTAAGTGGAATTGAAATAATATATCATCTTCTGATTTTAACGTGGTCAAATTGAATTCGTTTGGTTTATGAAAATCGGGATGATACCTGGAATGATCTATTGGTCATAATCTGAAATCGTTCCGACGGCCGACGGGTGAAGAATGACTTACCGCTACTGGTAGAAACCAAAGAAGAAGGCATGATTTATGTCCACTGGTAAATGGATGACCTTGTGTCCCGAATGAGAAATGTATGATATATCAATCGACACCTTTACTATAATGTACTTCAGGTGAAATTGGGGAAAGTACATATATTTATGATTATTCATAGTGATGATGCTTCGGTAACTACGGGATTGACAAGCGTTTATCAGTAAATTGATCATATTTGACTACTCTATACTGGAACATTCTTTCTACTAGTTGATGTCATATGTGAAACCTATGCTGCCCTCCCTAGGAAAGATCCACCGAACACGCGTCTTTGAAAAGGAAAGATGCACGGAAAATAGTCATCGTTCAATAGCCGAGGTAGAGTGACAATAGGGTATGGTTTGAGAACTGCCACATCCGTTGACTAATAGCTGTGCCACCTGCCACATGCCACCTGCCACATTCACCCCATCTCCCTCGCGTCTCTCTGTCAATCCTATCGATCCATCTTCACCCTAACCACCACCTCACCCTTCTACAAACCAACAATGCCTCCACCCACATCAACCCTCAAACCAGGTAAAGCAAAACTCAACGGAATCGGAACTACCAACGGTGAAAAACCAAAGTCAGAAAATGGGTTGGAAGAGAAAAGATTAGGAAAACCAGATCAAGCGAAATATAACGCTGAACAAGATGGTTATAATAAAGAAATAGCAATCATAAAGACAAAACAGGTATATCATCCTCTTCCTCATCTTAATTGACCCTACAAATCTATTTTTTGATATTCAGGTTCTATGAATTATTCGGAAGAGAGGATAGAGATAGAGAGAGAGAGAGAGGAAAGAATTGAAAAAACTGATCAAATTCAGGATTCAGTCCGAGCGCGTATTTCTTTAATTCAACCTGCTAGAGAAAATGATAGAAGATCACAACTTAAGATTGAAATGGATTCTTTGAGATCAGAACAAGGGAAATATAAATCTGAAAGACAAAAAACTTTAGATGAATTGAAAAAGTTACAAGAGATCGTAGGTAAGAAAATCAAGGATGCTCAAGGTACGAAATCTAAAATGGGTTTTAGATCGGTTAATGAGGTGGAAGAACGTATTTCGTGAGTTTTACACAATTCCCCACTTCTCTTACTCCCGATATGATATCATTTTGTTTTGTCCGACATACAAATTTAGAACGAACTCTTCCCCCTCTCAGACCACTTTCCCACTGTAGCCTTTCCCTTCTTTAGCTCGACCTTGATCTCATTCAGTTAAGTTGTCTAACCACGTGTCTTTGCTTCACTTGTCAAGAATATCGTGCTCCCCACATCGCGCCCTGTTATCTCTTCTGGTGTGCAAGTCTAAAGGGCACTGCAAAAGAGACGACAGGCATGATGACTCTACCTAATCAAAAACCAATACAAACCCTACCACTGCTGTGCGCCCGCTTGGGAATATTCCGACCTTTATAGCATACATCACGCTGACTCACAGTGCCCTAAACGCTCAGGTCGAATCAGGAACTATGAAACTGGTAGACGAAAGAAAAGCCTTGGCGGAATTAAGCACTCTTCGTCGATCTCGCAAAGCCTTGGAATCATCAGGTTCAGTGGAAGATTCCATCGCTGCTGATCGAGCTAGAATCGATGAGCTACGTAAGATATTAGATGATCCGGAGGTTAAGAAGATTACGGATAAATATGATGAGTTGAAGAAAGAGTCTGATGGGTTGAGAGAGGAAGGTGATAAAGCGTATGCTGAGAGGAATAAATTGTTTGATGAGAGGAACGCTTTGTCCGCTCAATTGGTGTGTATAGTCAACTTTACTTTTCTTTCTTCTTAAACCGATTCACCCTGGATTATACATATCTTACCACCCATCCATCCAACAATCCACAATCCACAATCCACAATCCATAATCCATGATCCACAATCCATAATCCATGATCCACAATCCATAATCCATGATCCACAATCCACAATCACCTCTCTTTCTTTGTCTTCTCAGACTAAGAGTAGTTTACCTACTTTGGGTGAAGTCAAACGTCATGATATGGGAAGCATGTAAGAAACTCATGTGCAGGATGAAATATACAAAAAGAAACGTGAATCAGCCCAAGCTTTCCGGGAAGAAAACGATCGATATTATGCCAAAATCCAAGCCGATCAAAAAGCTCGTCAAGATCGTCTCAAAGCTGAAAGAGCAAAAGAAGATGCTATCAAACGTGAAGCTGAAATCGTTCGTTTACGTGAAGAAGCCAAAATACCAGCATTTTCTTCAGAAATAGACGATTGTCAAGTCCTCATCAATTGGTTCAAAGGGAAATATGGTGGTAATGAAATTCCTACCATTCAAGCCATAAAATCCACTACCACCACCGTGGAAGGTGTAAAAACTTTAGAAATTCGTCGGGTCGAAGGTGATTTCGAAGGAATGACATTGAAGAAAAAAGGTGATGATGATTTGGAAGGTTTCTTTGGAGGGAGTGGAAAAAACAAGAAGAAAGGAAAGAAAATTTCCCTACCTAATTCAGGAATCGCAACACCTAGTGAAGGAGGAGTTGGAGGTTCAGTTAATTTACCAATGAGTTTATTAACTGCTTTACTCAGTTTAGGTATACCACCACCAACTGGGAAAGATGATGTTCAGAGGACTATGAATGATTTAGAAACGAAAAAAGCATGGTATGAAGCTAATTCAGCTACAAAGACAAAGGTTGGTGAATTTATATTTCATTCTTATTCTTGTTCGTGTTGGTGTTCGTGTTCTTTATACTGCTTGAGGCTTAGTTTCGAGATAGATAATTGTTCAAAGATGAAGATTAGAGAGAGGGATCAAAACTGATTATCAGGCCGAAGTTGAAAGAGTTGAAAAGTTGGTTTTAAAATTACAAAAGAAGAATTCGTTACTTAATGAGGATATCGAAGATGGTGAGGGTGTGGAAGATGGTGCTTTGGATGATGCGGAGGAAGAAATTATTACAGAGGAGATTGGTGGAGTCAAAGAACCTTCTCATACTGTCGCTATTTCTGGTGAAGCCACAGGTGTGGATCAGGTGGAACAGGATGGTTTACAAGTGAGTTTTTGTCCAAATGTTCATCTCTTTTCTCCCCATCCTCCGTCTCTCGTCTTCCGTGTCTCCTCCCCCACATACACGCACACTCTCTCTTCCGTGTTCTAATTTGTAGTACCCGAATTGTAGAGACAATCATCTTTCCACATTCCCTCCATGATCAGACAAGACATTTCGAACTCTGGGTCACAGTACATAATCTTGAATCATGATTAACATCCAGTTACCTACAAATGGTCAACAAGACGAACAGATTGATCATGTGGATTCGGCATTGACAGATATCAAAGAAGCAGAAAATGAGGAATGATCAAATTGTAAATACGTAGAGAGATCCTATACGAATCGATTGGATCTTTCCTTTCATTGTTTGCTTTACATGATGCATATGACCAATACCCCCTGTTCCCCCACAACGTTCTTCCATACTCCTCAACGAAGGTTCTCATATGTTGATCTGGTCATGCCGTTCTTATTGTACCCCAGACGGTCTGACATGTTTCAGTTCGTCAAAGCGTTCGATCATTCTCATCAGGTCGAGGGAAGATATAGTAAGTGTTGTCGCCCATGTTTGATATTCCCAGCTGTTTTCTCGCAGTGGTCGAGTCAAGGGAGAATTTGTATCAGGGAGGGGGTGATTTGGAATGTCATATTTCAAGCTACAGGTGTGGGATCTTGTGGTCTTTCAAAAGTACTAGCAGTGTTGATAGCAATTTCGAGTGTCTCGTTCTCTTTCTCCAAAACGAGCTGCGGATCAGTATTCCTTACTGACCTAGTACTTGTTGGCGATGATGGCGTGTCGAGGTGTGTAGAGGAGTGTACGGAGAGAGATGAGACAGTTATGTGGAGAAGCATGAGGGGAGTATGAAATGGAGGAGATAATAGAGGGATGAAAAGGATGGGAAGAATGAGATGCGTATAGATAAGAATGACAGAGGAGGATAGTAGGAATGTTTATTGAGAAACATACAACTTTAGCTTCTAATGTTTCTCCATCCATACCTAATCCTTCCCATGGATCTCTTTTTCCTAGAGGTATATTCTCTGAATAACGTCAGTCATGTCAAACAAATATCTTTCACCTTTCCTTTCCTTTCTCCCCCCCCCCTTTTTTCATCTTCCAACTATCGCCAAATCTCTCCTCACTACTTGGCACGACAACCTGTTCCCTCCTCCTTTGACCTATGAGGGGAAAAACAAGAATCCGGATGCACATCCAAAAGGTATGATACTCACTAATAGGATCCGGGGAGAACACTTCTGTTAACATCTCCTGTCTCGCTCTAAACCTACTCATGGCCACTTCCCTAGAATCTATCTCATCCAAAGCGTCTGCCCAAGGTTCAGGAGCTTCCAACATTACGGGATGAGGTGGATGTTGTGGAGGTGGTTGCATGGCATTACGAAGATAATGTTCAGGTGGATGAGGAGGTAACATTGAAGGTGCTGCTCGTGGTAACATTTGAGATGCCGGTGATGGACGTGGCTGATTGTTAATCTTTATGTCCTTTCATGTCTTTCTCGTTTATATCTCTGATACAATATGTTCCGATAGTCCGTCGCTTGATGATCTCCGACCTTTTGATTGTCAAATCTCCGATAATTAGGTGAGATTAATTCGATAGATAGGTGAGATCAAACGCAACGAATATCTCGAAAGGAAGGGAGGAAGACGGGGAATACTGAGGGAAAAAACAACTTCGAAACTCACCTTGGCCTTTTTCTTCGACGACCCACTCGATTGAACATGTCCCGGTGTCATCTGCGCCATTTGCATCTGCTGCATCTGTTGTAATTGCATTTGTTGAACTTGAGACATTTGTCCAGCTTGTCCCATCTGCGCCATCTGAGCTTGTTGAGCTTGACGCATTTGCAACGCTTGGAGTTGTTGTTGTTGAACCAAATAACCCTGTTGAGCGATCGTGTGGATATCAGGAGGGTTCATGAACCCTTGCTGCTGCTGTTGTTGTTGTGGTTGAGGAGGTAACATGGAGTGTTGAAGACCTGGAGGGAATGAATAGTTGAGGTTTTGAAAGTTGGGATTCATATCGAGGATCGATTTGTACGAGCAGTCGGAGAGTCGGAGAGTTGAGCCAGGGCAGTTAGGCAGTGATAGTACTTGCAGGCAGGGTAAGTAAAGTAAGGTAGGATATAGGGACTAGGTGAAGGAACGTTCGATTCAACCAGGGACAAGGGGAGAATACGAGTAAGTTTGAATGTTACGTAATTGACATGATCGAAGGGGAATGTGTGGGGCTCCACGTGTGATGATGTTCCACTTTTGGCCACCTGAATCCCCTATGCGATCACCTGCGGTATCCCCGACCAGAACGGATGTCATTCCACCTTTTCTTTTGTCTTTCATCGATATCCTCAAACTTGGTCCACTTGGATAAACGACAAACCTCCTCTGAAAGATTCAAGACCCACTATCAGAGAAGGCCTCGTATCGCTATTCGGCTGTCCTTCTATTCTTCATAATGACATCCTCAACCTCACATTATCCTCACTCTCCCCCTCGACCCATTTCAACACCCTTACCAGAAACGATGACAAACACCATATCACCTAAATCATTTCAAAGTTCCCTACCCTACGCTCCTATTCGTCCTTCACCTCTATCTCCCGCTTCTTCATCCGTAGCTGAACTCGGATCACCTAGACCTTCCACAGCCTCACCGGGCATGTCATCGTCAGCCAAACTGCTCAATGCCGTAGGTGTAAAGTTGACAACCGGTGGCAAAGTCAAACCCAGAATATTGGGAATACAAGATCGTCTCAAAGGAGAGATTGATGGTGTGGTCAAACGACGTCAGGGAGGGGTTTTAGCAAGAGGGTGAGATAAACTCGATCGGAATGTCATAAAGACACGTGCTGATGTTAGATTTGTTCTCAAGACCGGTATGTCACCAAGATGCATCAACATCAAAGCTAATCAGGAAGATCATTATCCCACAGGAAGAGCCTTGGATTTGGATTTGACGATTTCAGGTGCTCCAAATTTCAGAGCACCAGATGAACAGTGTTTGAACGTGTTTGGGGTGAGAGTCATGACCCATGTGAAGATTTTCGTAGGCTGAGAACATAGGTTGCTCAACCTACTATAGCAGGATTGAGAGCTATACTAACGATACTCGGATGTCACCCTTCACCTCCTGCTCCTGCACCATCACGAAGAGGTTCTTCTACCGGCATCATTCCCCCGGGAGCAGCGAGTGTTCCATTGCGCAAAGGTGATTCAGACCTCGGAGAGAACGAACCCGCCCAAGTTCAGTTGGGAAGGGCAGCATGGTTCAGTACACGTGAAGAGACGTTAAGTAAGCCTCGTCCCATATCATAGTTCAGGAGTAGCTCAAATGTTAGTTTACTGTAATGGCCGACCTTATGTACTCAGGGACGCTTCAGACCCATTTAGAACTCTCACTCTTTCAGATCGAGCTCCCAACTTGGAAGATATCGAACGTCGACTTAGACTTGACGTACTCGAAGAGGCTCGTCGGTATGGTGGTATGATTCTCATTCATGACGAAGTTACAGACGGAAATTTGGTGCCCACGTGGATCAGTGTGGACGAGGAGACAGTATTCACTCCCAGAGACATTTGGCACGACATCAAGGCGCAAGGATGGAGATGTGACTATTGGAGAATTCCCGTTGCACCGGATAGATCAATAGAAGTAAGCAATCCTTCAGGTCCAACAGTTGAAAATCTTGACCTGATAAACAGGATAATTATCTCGATGCCTATGTGAACGTCTTAAAAACAATCGATCCAGTCACCACATCCCTAGTCTTCAACTGTGGAATGGGAGTTGTCCGAAGTGAGGCCATTTTGATCGATACGAGAAATAAAACTGACTTCAGCCACTTTTGGAATGTGCGCTGCACTCATCATACGACGCAAGCAGTTTCTTCTTCGGTCATTAGACGACCCTTTTCCAGTCGCCACTGGAGCCTCGGGCTTCACTACCGTAAGCTGCTGTCCCTGTTACATAGCAGCTCAAATGGTGACAGTAGCCTTTGCCTGGCCAAGCTGGACAGCAGGCTGCTCAATTCCTGGAGCAAGCCACGCATCAGCAAACACTCAACAAGAGTCTTCTTCGGTTGACACGGATACTGGATAGAAGTACCTTCACTGTCTTTCAACTCTGACATCAGCTGACTGTTAGATCTCCCCTCGAAACACAACACCTCGGCTGTTGATCTACTATCGTCTCATCCCGCCTTACTGGAACAACTCAGGAAAGCTCACATGGGCAACTATGGTTTCGTGCTGTCTCTTCTTTCCAGCCTGGATCATGGGCGGCAGATGAAGAGACTTGTCGACGCGGTAATCGATAGCTGTGAGCTTCTGATGTTTCCCAGCGTGCAAATGGGCGGGGCTGACTTTTGACAGGTGACGCAGTGGTCAACCTACGTGAAAGTGTCATTGAGAACCGTATCAAATACAGTGTAGCGACTCTGGATGACAAAACACGACAGGCCACTCTGGAGAAGGCTTCGCGTTCTGTGAGTTAGCTTGACAAGGCTTCCGATCGGAGCTAAATCCTGCAGTTGGAGCAATACTTCGACCTAATAGCTTTCGCCGAATATGTCGAAGAGGAAGACGCTGGAGCGACCGGTGTGACATTCCATGATTGGCTCAAGGTGAGCAGATAGATGGGCTCAAGAAAAGGAAAGCATTAACTGACTGTCAGAATCGTCCCGAGATATGGAAGTAAGCTGTGCCAGGGAACCCGTACTGGCCACGCTCATCACCATAGCCAAATCAAGACAATGCGTCGACAAGGAGGTAACAGGCTATTCGCCTTTGCGCCTATCAATGACTTGAGTCTGATCTCGCGATCTACCGATTTCGAGGGTCAGAGTCGATCTCGAATGAGTGGCTCGCGGATAGGCAATGTCAATCTTCAAGGCGGAAAGATCCTGGGAGATGAATGGGCCGACTATGTGGTGAAGAACCGCAATGGGATCATGTTGCGAGCTTCGTAAGTCCTTTCTATTATCCGAAAATGTCATGGCGCTTACTGAACTAGAACGTTGCTGGTGAGTTCCCAACAACGACACGTTGTGACAATTGATGAATACAGAAATCCGACTTGTGGTTGACAGATGCCGCAGCATCCGTCGAGGGTGTTCGAGGTGCTGTAGGCTTCCGTCAAGTTCGAGGAGGGCCCATCTTCGCTACTGGTCAACCCACCCAAGATGCAATCTACACCATCTTGGACAATGTGCATCTGCGCCTTCCAGGGGTGAGCAAAGTCGTTTGGGTGTGTCTAAGAGAAGAACCATTAGTTATGATCAATGGTGAATTATCCCTTTATGATCAAAGATGTCTATAATTCCAATATAATATCACGGGCTGATGAACAATTAGGTTCTCCTTACTGCTTGCGTCGTGACAGTGTGGCTCTACGAAATATGAGAGATTATTCTGGCGTCTCGGCTTCACGTCTTGAAGTCCTCGAAGAACGTCTAAAATCTGATGTCGTCAATGAGCTTGCCGAATTTCAAGGTCGTGTACTCTTACACAGTGAGAGCTCGGACGGACAAGTGATTCCCGTGTGGGAAAGTGTGGATAAAGGTGATGTCGCGTCAATCCGAGAAGTGATGGATCAAGTGGCTGTTAAAGCGAAGCATGTGGGAGTGGAATTCGTGCGGATTCCAATTACTTCAGAATCGTCACCCGACGTGAGTTCTCTTCAACTCAAGTAATGAGAAGACTGAGACTGATGAAATAGTTTCACGATATCACCGACATCCTCAATCTTTGTCTTCGGACAGATTTGGAGAAAAGCGCTTTCATCCTGAACGATCAGCTCGGACGTGGAAGAAGTTCCAATACTGCCGTCATTGTCCTTCTTATCCAGCGATGGTTGAAGAGAGATCGTTCACAAGCCACCACCCGTCCGACTACACCGATGAAGAAGCGACCCGACTTACAGAGGATGACGACTCATGTTCCCAAGACGAGCTGGCAAATCATCAATAGTTGTTTGAGAGTCATCAGGAATGGGTTAGAAGTGAAAAAGGTCAGCTCAGACCTTAGTCTCCTATTGGACTCTGAAGCTGATGCGTAGATTGTCGATGAGGCGATTGATCGTACCGCTGCACATTACAACTTGCGGGACGCCATAGAGGATGTTCATGGACAGGCGGAAGCTGCTCCAGAGGGACCGGACAGGAATCGTCACCTGGAGAAAGGTGAGTAACCTTCGTGATGTGAGACATCTGGACTGATCTATGAGGCATATTCCTACTGAGACGCTACTATCATCTATTGTTGTTCCAAGCCTACCTCGACGATCGGGGACCAGATGATGAGAATCCATATACTTTCGAATCTTTCGTCAAACATCGACCAGGTGAGCTATTGAGTTCCCTGACTTGCTTGGCTGACTATGTAGTGTTCAAAACTCTAGAGACTGAATTAGAACGAGGTGGACTACAAGGATTAACCCCTATCGAGCGGGTGGATCCTGCACAAGGTATGGCTGTAAGTGTACCAGCTGGCGGTACAATGGCAGAGCTAATGATAAGCTCCCAGATGAGGAAACTCAGGTCGTGGCCAATCGTAGTGGCGCCATTTTGTCTGCTCAAACCGTTAGATACTCAATATCATCATGGAAGTCTGCTGATAAGCGAGATTTTGAAGTCCGACTTCTTCTCTGGACTGCAAAAGCAGAGCTTACCAGAGTCTGTTATCTTACATTGTACAATGAAGGTCCAGACTGATATAAAGACGAGTTGAAGGTGCAGCCAATTATCGCAAGATACCTTTGCTACTCATGTCATCTACCCACCGAGGTGACTTAGGCTCCGAGCACTATGTCTATGGTACAGGGTACGTTTGACACATCTGAGTGAAGCCGTGCTGATCTGCAGTATGCCCAGTGAGACAGGGTCAGTCGAATCAAGTGGACTTGGACTCTCGCTGATTATTACAGACTACGTAATGCTCTGGAGAAAATGGGCGCCAGTCCAAAGGGATCAAGAAAAATAGTTTGGACATCTCTACGAGAAGAGCCAGTCTTAGTGAGTGGCTCCAACCAACGACATCTTGTGAAGCTGACTTCCAAGTATGTCAAATCTCGCCCTCATGTCCTTCGTATAATTGATAAACCTCTGACCAACGTTGAGTAAGTCCGACAATCCTCCGCGCTGGGTTTATGCTGATGAGAAGAACAACCGGCGTGACAGCTTCCGTCGTCGAGCGTATGGAAACTACATTGAAAGACGATGTTTTAAGAGAGATCCGACGGAACGAAGGTCGATTGTTGTTACATGATGAGATAGAGACAAAGCCTGGGACATACGAAATTATCCCTATATGGGAAGATGTCGAAGAAGATGAGGTGATGACTCCGAAGGAATTGTACGATAGAGTGATAAGAGATGGTTATCGGGTGGATTATCAACGAGTGGCTATCGTGCGTGTCATTCTTCCTCTGATTTTCTCTACTCTTACCTATATTCGACGTGTGTCCTCGTACCCGATTCCCTCGGGGATATCACGTTGTCAGTTACACAGGGCTTTCCGAACTTCAATGTCCCTATCACATGAAAGCTCATAAGTATACAGGGAGGGGAAATGTTTATTTTCCATCCCGCTTTCTCTGCTCTCTGATCTGGTTGCTGAAATGGAAGTGAGAGTAGATATAATTAATCATCAGACCGACGAACAAGCACCATTACCAGCCACATTACAAGTTTTAGTAAATCGTATAGCTCAAGGGATGGATGATCCAACTATCGATTTCGTTTTCAATTGTCAAATGGGTAGAGGACGTACTACAACAGGAATGATCGTAGCTTCTCTCGTCGCTACCATCGATAAAGGAGAAGAGGAGGAAGATGAGGAAGCAGAAGAAATGTTGGATGAAATTGATTTTGATGTTCCCGAAGCGACTCAGTATCTAAATGGTCAGTTTTTCTGAAGGGATATATATGGTATGATGCTGAAAGATAGGTGAATATAAAACAATTTTACAACTTGTGACTGTTCTATCACATGGGAAGCGTGCGTCCTTTTTCTCACCATGATTAGTCACTGTGATTTACACCTGTCCCTCCTTCCTCTTTTCCTCTCTCCCTCGTCCTGCCCTGATCCCAAAGTTTGATCAAGGGGATTGAAAAGGAGGGGTTCGCTGACGCGACAGAGGCAAAACGTTTGACTGATAAAGCTATCAATCATCAAGAATGTGTACAAAACCTTCGTAAAGCGGTATACGAGTGAGTCGTCTCGTCTCGACGCACCTTGTGAAAGAAGATTCAAACTGACAATTAGTTTCAAGATCAAGATTGAAGCTTCTGAAAGGGGTTCAGCAAAGTATAAAATGTTGTTACATCAAGGTGTGAATTATTTATATCGTTGTGAGTGTTTATTGTCACTCATTTCACTTGACACAGTGGCCCTTTGCTCAGATCTATCTCAACCCTCCATATTAAATGGAGTACTTTCATCTCACATATCACTCTAAAAAGATTTATTCATCTCACTTGGACATTTTGTCAGTGGTCGACAATCTAAATATCAAAGAGTAGCGGAAGAGTTCAGTGTGTGTTGAAACCTCATGTTGATGATTAGACGGAGCAATGATAGTCCTTGCCAATTTCCTATTAGAGATCAAAGATCAATACGTTCCTTTGAGAGAAAGTGATTTCCCCAAATGGCTCGAACAACATCGAGAAATTTCTTCCGTCCTCAGTCGTAAGACTTTGGATTGATACCTGTCACAAACATAACTTTGCTCCCGACGTCTTATTTTGGTTAAGACAAACAACCTTTAACAAATCTAGTATGCTCTATTGTATCTACTTGAGCAGATATACGCACAATATGGGCGCGTGTATCCTTGTCACTCACCGGTATGAACAGGAAATGGGATATTTAAGGTGAGATAGAGAGAATTAGATTATGTGGATGACCCCACGACTCGACGGTAGATAGGAGTGAATATCAAATACATTTGCATCTACACCATTTGCATTATCTTGTATCATTATCATGCATGATCTAACGACATGACCAATATAAACCAGTGTATATGTACAGTATGTTATATATAACGATGCATGATGTACTGTATGACGTATGATGTTTGAGATTACACATTGCTAAATAAATGATAGTATTAACGAGGAGACCACGATTGACCAGGTAACATTTGCCCAAGCATCATCTGATATTGTAATGCGAACCGGGGGTTGATAGCAGGTACGACGTCATCTTGCGTTGACCTTGTCTGGTGAGGTTGTTGAGATTGTGGGTTTTCGTACATTCTGGAGTGATGAGATTGTGGTTGTGGTTGTATTTGAGACACTTGGTGAAATTGAGGATGTATTTGTTGAGATTGATGAGATTGAAATGGTATTTGAGATGATTGATGCGGTTGAAGATATGTTAAAGATGGTTGAGGTTGTATATGATGTGGTGAAGATGGCTGATATGTTTGATATTGTTGTGGTTGATAATTCTGTTGCATCTGATATTGAGGATGATGATGTTGATCGTGTCCTTGAAAAGAAGGTTGAGAATATCCAGGTCCATGTCCAGGTCCGTTTGGAGGAACATACGACGAGATTGGTTGAGGATATGCGTTGGTATTTCGGGGTGAGGGTGAGGGTGGATTGTGAAATGGTGTAGATTGTGAATGATCGGACCGCTGAGGGGGTTGTGGATTTGGATTTGGGTATTGGGATTGAACGAACGGTGGGAATGTCTGTTGAGGATGAGGAAGAGATATTGAATTTTGAGGATGAGATATTGGATTTTGAGGTTGATAAGAAGGTGAAGGAGGATGATGAGGAAAAGGTGAGGGAGGATGATGAGGAGAAGGGAATGATGGAAGATAAGGTTGAGAAGGGTTTGATAATAGATCTCCCATACGTATAGGAGAGTCTTGTAAATGTCCTCCTCTTCCACCTCTCCCTCCTCTTCTTCCTGATTCTCTCCCACCTGACCGACCTCTCCCTCTATTCATCCCTCGATTAGAATGACCGTCTCTTGATGTCCTACTACCTCCATCTGACTTCCCAGTATTACTGAGATTCTTCTCATTTGACATCGAACTAAGCTCAGTGATCGACTCTCCCATATAAACATCATCATACGGTCCAGGTAATCGTCTTTCCCTTTCACTTGACGATCCATCAATCTCATCACCGTACATACTAGCAATATCGGATCGATCTTCAGGTTGATAATCGAAATGTGGTTTTGTAGGTAATCCAAATCTTTCTCTTTCTCCTCCACCCCTTCCTCCTCCCACACCACCAAGTCTTTTCTTCCCTCTTTCCCCATCTGATCGATTCGCAGTATATATGCTACTCACACTTCCTGACCTACTTCTATTTCTCCCTCCACGTTCTACCCCTTCTCGTTGTAGGTTGTTATTGTCGAAAGATGCATCAGAGAACCGAGATGACATTCCTCTTTTTCGTCTTTTTTTAGCTTCAGCCTCAGCTTCATCATCAGACCATTCAAGTTCATCTTCTCCTACTTCCTCGTCATAACGATTACTAGCGTCACTACCTTTTAATCTCGGATCACGAAGTAAAGGCATGTTGACGAATGTTCGATAAATCGGTGTTGTGGGATAAAAAAGTTTGGTTCCTGCGTTCAGCGAATGAAGGGGTGGGTAAGGGTAAGGAGGAGGAGGAAGTCGGACGGTATAGAATGGAGATGTTAGAGGACCGAAGGTTTCTGATACCTGTTTGATTAGATACAAACCCCAAGACTCATAGTATCCCAGTCGTTTCGAAGAGATGTAGTAATGATAAGATGGTGGGATAGATCAAGTGACCGTTTGGCTGGATGGAAGTGTTTGTAGACCACACATGAGAAGAATATGAAAGAAAGTTGGATATGCGGAAGAAAACTCACAGTACCCAACACTCGTCCATCTTCCCAACATAAAACAGAACCTTCTTCTAACCATCCCTCGTCATGAGCACCAGGTCGGGATTGCATAGCTCGGATAACTACCGTCCCTGCTGAAGATAACTTGGGCATGTCCTCAATCACAGGGGTGGTATCTGTGTGTGCGACTACTTTCGTTGCTTGTGCATTCGCCTTCTTAGGCACACCTGACAACACAAGAGCATCGGTCTCGTTCTGCATGTTGTGTTCAGTTGGAGATTCAGTTTTGACTGCCAGACTGAGATCGGCGGGAGGATTATCGTCTATCTCCAGTTTCGGTAAATGCGCAGCCGGAATTTCGGTCGAAGCATGCGCGGGAGGTTGATCAAGGATATCCGATACCGGAGAGGGGTTGACGATGGGAGGAATGGTTGATGCAAGAGCCATGTCGGTCGTGGTAGGGGACAGTGAATTATCAGAAATCGGATGTATATTTTGTGTTGAAGGCTCCCAATGATCGGTTGACTTGATATACGGTCCTGCTTGTGGTTCCACTGAAGGTGTATCGGAGTGAATGACCATTTCCAACACCGCCGCTTCGTCTTCCTTCCGCAAATCCATCTCCTGATGATCATGAATGTCAACCTGAATCTCATCCGTCGTCTCCAATTGTTCAACCTCATTAACCATGTGCGTCCCCCCAGATTCGTCATCTCCCGCAGACTGAATAATAACAGCTTCTTCCATATCTTTAAACTCGATTTTGACAATCCCCTTCCCCTCCTGTCGCACTGAAGTCTCCTGCTTTTGTTCCCTACTCTCTGCCCAAGCTTCCGCCTTTCGATCCTTCATCCAGCTCACTACCTCCCCTGCCAAACTCAACCCCTCCCCTTTTGGTAATTTCTCCAGAGGAGGTTGAGCCACCACTGGCAAGACTTCCTCATTCACAGATGCTATAGGTCCTGCTACCTCCTCATCTTCTTCCAACTCTAACTCTCTACCTGTCATTTCAGAAGGGATGACATGATCCAACATTCCAGTATCCGACTCATCACCCGATTCGTACTCTGAGTCCGTCTCCGCTTCTTTTTCCTCTTTCAACTTTTCAATCGATGTTTGAGAGTGGCCATTGACGAATTGGTCTAATTCTTGTTTCATCTTGTCGTGCATTTCCAGGATTGTAGATCCGTTCTCCTTCTCTTCTTCCTCGTCATCACTTGATTCCCATTCACTAGACGAGTCGCTGGAGTCATCTTCATCATCATTTACTTCGGGTTCTTGAGTTACATCTACGATAGGGTCGAGCTGTGTGCTCCTTGCGGAAGGGGAGGAAGACTCGGCGGTTTTGGAAGGATCAGAAACCTTGGTAGAGTTATTTTTCCTCCGTAAACTCTCTTCGACTAGTTTACGCTTCTCCGATGCTGACATACCGAGAGGTGGTAGGGGACTGACGACCTGTTGAGCTACCATCTCCATGATGAGGGATACATCTTGCGGGAGGGATGGGTTAGGGGGTAATTTGAACGTTGGTGGTGGGTGTACCGGTGGTATTGGGTCGGACATGGTTATAGAGTAATCGCTGTGGGTACCGCAGTCTCTGGTCCCAGCTACAGCTACTTTGTCACTGTACTCACTCGCTACTCTGACGTCGAGTACGAGTGACGTTTGGTCCTGAAAGGGTGATGAGAGAAATCTTTCACTGTAACTTTTGTGAGTCAGCCTGACAACGAGGTGAAAAGTGCCACACTCACTGACACTTATTCGGTGTCAGGCTGACTTTTGACCTCACCGCTGCAATCGCTCCAACTGACTCACTAACTCACCATCACATCATCATTCTTCTACATATTACTACTGATTCAAGTAACATCTCCCGTCTTCCCGCGTACATAACATAAACTCGTGACTTGTCCTCTTCGTTATCTACCTGATCGAATCCTGACAACATTCCATATCAGCTTACATTTTGGCGTGACTTTGTGCGTTGAGAGTGACCCCAGTTGGACGACGAAAGACGTGGCGTGACCTCCTCTTTTGTTTTCTCAAACACCAGCCATTCCTTCCCTCTCTGTCACGATTCAATGTATACCAACACGTCTTATCTTTATATAAGTGTGAGTCTATCTCTTTTTTCCTCAGCACCTTCCATCCATACTTCCTTCTGCTTCAATCCACCCATCCAATCACAATCCAACCACTTCATTCAATCAATCAATCCAACCAACCAAACCCCATCACCTCATCAACGTCCCTCACTACTCTGCTTCCCTTCGACGACCTACTACTGTCAATATGCAAGCTCGCAAGATGACCATCAGTATGACACTCCGCTCCGGCCTCCGTCCAAATCAAACTCGTCAATCGCGTCAAGCTCCCAATCACCAAGTCAACACACTCCCCTTGTCCCGTACCCCAAGCGGCTCCGGTCTTCCTCGTCCTCAAGTCGTCCGCGGCAATCTCCCAAGGAAGTCATCTGCCATCAATATCAAGACCCACAATCTCAACATCAAGTCGTCAGTATCGTCGACTCAAGGTCAGAAGAAGGAGATGATCATTCCGACTTCCATCAAGTATGTGAACAAGAAAGGAGCTTCGTCTCCTGTTCAACCACCCCAAGTCAACGGTACTCACGTTCAAGAAGAGTTGAGCGAGGAGGAATCCGACAGACTCCTCCAAGAGCTTTTGGGCGTCGTTCAAGTCCCCTTGCTAGACGAGAAGGTCAAGAACGATGCCAAGGAGAAGGCCAAGGAAGATCATGAAGGAAAGGACAAAGGAGAAGAGAAGGATTCTACTCGTAAGCGTCAAGGAAGACGCCAGAAGGTGTCTAAAGTCTCTACGGAAAACAGTGTGATAGGACAGGAGCCATCACGCAAGGAGACCAAGGTTAACAAGAAGGTACGATCTGCAAAAGATGGTAACGTCAATGATCGTACTATCAAGTCGGAGACTAGGACCCCGGTCAAAATCCCCAAACAAGCTTCTGTCAAGGATAGCAAGGAAAACCATACTTTGAACAGTTCCGAGGATGAACAAGTCGATGACCCAGTCATCAAATCCATGAGTTCGACCCCAATCCAACTCGCTACGGTTCTCCCCGAAAATGATGCTTTCACGCATAACAAGGAACTCCACGGAAAGGATACATCCGAAGATGATAAAGATCAAGATCCCGTGATCAAGTCAATCAGTCAAACCTCATCCCCCATCAGACCCTCAAAAGCACCGATCGCCATCCCAAACAAGACGTTCAACCCGCTCGGCGCTCCGTGGTCGCCAAACGGCACCACCAGTGACTCATTCGACACTTCCCCCTTATCCCACAGTCTACCAACTCTTGACGTTATGCACAAGGTCAAGCAGTCAGACAAGGTGAAGGATGAATCAGCAGTGTGGGATATGCCAGAAGTAAATGCAGGGCCACAGGAGAAGACAGTGAGTTGACCACGATTTTCTCGCATCTCGTATCGCCCCAATCCTCATTCAATCTCCCTTTGCCTTTACGTTCGAATCATATTGTGCTCGGCTGACATATCAGTGGCAACAACTCCTCATGGACGGCAAAAAACCCAAGATTGATAAATATGACCGTAACAATCAACGTCCCTCTTCCACCGGTCCATCTTCTCCTACCAAATCATCGAAAAGATCCAATTCACCTCCCAATCTTAAGAATCCTAACAAACCACGTCAGCCACGTCCCACTCATTCAAGACGTCTTTCTCTTGACGATCCATCGGTGCGATCCACTCCCACTTCCTTCTCTTCCCTTTCGCCTATCCAAGCCAGATCGGTATTCGACACAACACTTGATTGGTATCCAACAATGAACGTCAATCGTCCTCCTCAAACCCCATTCAGACGTCTACCCACTCATGTCACTGGTGAACTACCCCTCATTCCTGGTGAATTCCCACGCATCAACCGTTCCCCAGTCCCAACTCCCATCGCACAGCTCACGAAAGCGGTAACTGGTTCACCTCAGAAACGTTCACAGAAGAAGACGGTAGATATGGGAAGGACGAGGAGTGGAAGTGGAGGTGCAGATCCGAGCATTGAATATTATGCCGGTCCATCATTTCATAATGCTCCTGCGGCACATACTCTCAGTCCACCCGACATGTCTGATTGGTAATCGAACGTTTCGAATATAAAGGATTTTTGAACATTCGGCAATATATATATATATGGTGTTTGGTATTTGGAAAAAAACGATAACGGTGTATATTCTTGGACATATGGACGATTTGTAACAATTACGACCACTCAAATTTCTTGTACGCATCTGGAAGGTTTCTCAATGACACTGCTTGTGTTATATTAGATGAACGGACGAATAACGTTTTGTCATCGACTAAGACGACTTTTTCTTTGTTGTACATTTTCTCTGGGTCAGTCGTGAGGAAAGGTGGAGTAGTGAGAGGGGAAGAGGTTGTAAGATGATGCGAGGGGGTGGAAGGTGGGCGAAGGGTGATAGTGAAGTGATGAGCAGGAGTCGTGTGGGAGAGTAAGGGCGGCGGTAAGCAGTGACATATGAGGAAGACAGAGCTGGAGGTGTAGGTGGGAGAGTCGGAAGCAGGCAGTGTTCATTCTAGTGGGTGTTGGAAGAGGGAGGAGGGGAGAGGGAAGATAAAGCGAGAGAAAGGGGGAGGGAGAGAAGTGGGATGACATAGTAGATTGAGAACGGGCATTCAATCGATATCAATACTGACCTTCTCTCTTCACTGATTTGTCTTTTACGTGAGTTCAATTTACTACCTGAGAAAATGCAGAATGAAATGACATCGGGGACAAGATGAGGAGTTCCGTTCTGGGACGTCAGGGTGGTGAAGCGCTTTCCACAAATCT